CTTCCAGAAAGTAGAGGTGGAAGTAAATGGTTCAAATGGATTTCAGATCTACACACACATCTACCATCTGAGACAGAAACAACCCCTTCTCCATTGCGGGATCGGTATTTCTTCATAAATACAGTTGTACAAGATAATTTTTATAACGGCAGAACTTCCTCTCCTCGAAAGAGGCTTTAGTTCCAACCAAATGGGACACCATTTCACTCCTCAGATCAGTAGCAGCCTCCTGACTCAATCCTAATAGAGAAAAGGGTCGGCAAAGAAAACCCTCGTGTTTATTATTTATAGGGCAGTCACCCTCATTTCCTTTTTATGTTCAATTATATAATACATGGTGTTTTATGTTCCTTTTTTTTAATCTCTTTTCTTTATTATTAGTGTTAACTTTTTATCTCCCTATATCCTTAGGTCTTAATTTTATGTATAATACTTTTCACCATCTATTGTAACTCTCATTGTTTGAAGTCTTTTTGTATACTATTTCAGCACCCATTAGAGTACTTTTTACTTAAATTAAATAAGGACCATATTTTTAATTCATCTCGTATATATGTTAATTTTCTCTCTTCTCCTTTATGTTATTTATCACTATTAATATTCTCTCATTCCTCTTCTCTTGCAAGTTCTTTCTCAACTATTTATCTCTACTAATCTATCCTGTTGTAAAATAAAAAACATAGAGTACAATTTTTTTGTTATGTTTCTCTAAGAAAATTTAATTATATGATCATTATATTCTTAGAATTAATGCATATTATCATACTCAGATTTGTTATATTGCAGCATGCGCGAAGCGCGTTAGTTCTATTTAGTTGTTAACTATATATATAAAAAGGATGTTTCTCCTTCCTCACACGTAAAACTTTGGTAGTATCTTCTCACGTGTGTAGAAGATTATTATGTAATTTAAACATTCAATGTTTAAATTTTTTTTTTCCGTTTTTTCTTTCTTCTTTGTCCTTCTATCCACCCCACTTTCTTCAATTTATGCATGAAATCAATTTTTTCATTTTTTTCTTCATAATAATGAATTTACTACAACAACAATTAATAATTATGAGTGTTAAAATTGCTAACTTTTTCAATTCTTCCAAGTAAAAGATATATAACTTCAAAATATCAACCTACCCAATCTTTTCGAATTCACCTTTTTCTTTGTTTTTTTTTTTAAATTTTTTCTACCTATCAACTATCTATATAAATAGCGAGTTTGGACAAAATTTTGGTATTTTACCACTCTTTGTGTGAAGGGTAATCTCAGCAATTTAATTAACTTAGTAGTTCATCGACCTATTATCATCATCAACAACCTCTATATAATAATTAGTGAATAATAATTTTTAGTAGTTATTTCATGAGTCTTTTTATCTTACTCGTTACATTACTAATATTTATAACTTTTTTCAGTTTCATCCTTTTCATCTTCTTCATCTCCATAATTATTTTTAGTTTTCTCTTTTTGTTTTGTATACTTTCATTTCTCTTTCAACCTATCTATCTTCCTTTACAACCTATCTTCATCCAATCTCTTCAGATTCTTAACCTTTGATTCTAGTAACTTTTATAATGAATTTAATAGTTTTTATGATTTATGTTTAAGGGGTTTTTCATAACTAGAAAATAAAGAAGTGTTTCATTGTCAATTTATTGATGAATTTTTCTTTAAGTACAAAAGGTTCAATGCCAAGAGGTAGCTAATGCATTGGTTGATACTCTCTGTTTTCTTTCTCCCCCAACTGAATCCACCGTCAACCTTGATGGGTATTTTCTTCTTCGACCATGCAAGGTAAATAACCTGATTGTTTTCTTCTCTAACTTTACCTTTGTATTTTCTTCTTTTTATGATTATTTTCATAATGAAGAAATTAACATGATTGTGTTCTTCATTTCAAATGGCCAAGTTTACTATGTCTCTTTTATTGGTGCTTTTTGTGTGACTTACGTATAATGGTAGAGATGCTCTGTTTTAGTGGGTTATTTTGTGTTTAGAATAAACTTTGTGAATTGTTTGTGATTTTAAATGAAATTAACTTGGACGGTAAAAATACGTGATTTCTTATATGCTTCATGTAAATATACTGTTGTAATGTGTAATTCTATGCACTCACACTTAGTTATTGTTGAATTTCCTAATCCAATGCTTAAAGATTAGTTGTTATATATATATATATATATATATATATATATATATTCATTTAGTTGATGTGGATTATGTTGAATGTGGATTGTGGATTATATTTTATAAAATGTAAAAGACTTTTGTATGATTATTTTCTACCATTTTGTCTATACGCCTATTAAATTATGTCATACATCGGGTACACGCGAAGCGTGTTTGATCCAACTAGTATATATAAATTACGAGTTTGGACAAGTTTTTGGTAGTAAACATTACAAGTAACTGATTGAGAGGAGAAGAGGAATTGGCGAGTCATTACTATTTTAATTAATTATTAATAATTAATAAGCACCTATGGTTATTATTTTAATTAGTGCTAATAATGAAGAAGGGAATGAAATGAAATGTCTCATGGTTACTATTCTAATTAGTCCTAATCATGAAGGAGGAGATGATGAAATGATTTCTTATTATTGTTCTAAGTAATGCTCATTATGAATATGGAAGATGTAATAATCCTTTTATGATGCTATTCATCAAAGTCATTACACATTTCCTCTTATTTAGTCCTAATCATGAAGGAGGTGAAGATGAAATGTTCTCCTATTATTGTTCTATATAAGTAATGCACATTATGGGCAAGGAAAAGAAGATGAATAGTCCTCTTTTGATGTTAATAATCAAAATTCTTAAGACATTTTGAACCGATAACAAAAGGAGGATAGGTAAGTAGATAGTTAGGTTTCAAATAGTCTATTTGATTTCGGGATAGAGGGACTTGAACGGAATCCTCATGATTTTTGAAGTTGAGGTATTTTCCTCTTAACTATAAATTTCATTACTGCTGGAATTGACATGTAAAATGGGACTCTATATTTATTCTTGTCTCATTTTGAAAAGATCTATTAGAGTATAGAGTGAATCATTTGATCAATGAATATTCAATTCTTTCTTAAACATAGAATCTAGTAACTTTTTTTTTTCATAGAAAAAATAATTCAGGTTGTCAGTAGACATTTAATATACTTTTCACTACGTATGTGTATATATATGTGTGTGTGTGTGTGTGTGTGTGTTTATCCTTCTCTTTTTTCTTAAATACCGAAGATATTGAATCTTTTCTTGGAAAGACTTATCGACTAATGCATCCTACTCTATTTGTAAGAACAACTTCCGTTGTGTCTCTACACGTATCCCCTTTTTGCCTTTTTGAACCTTTGTTTTCTTGTTTTTTTGGAAAATATGATTTGGTTCATGATTGCCCCTTTTTATTAATTCCAGGGTTTCTCTGAATTTGAAAGTTCTTACTTAGCAGGTTTTCATACCAAGACCCAATCTAATGAAGTCCGTTGCGTCTATTGATTTCGCCATATCCCCTTCGTCTTGTGTTGAGATTTAAGTTTCATTGTTATGTTGTTTCTTCTTCTTTTTTTTTATTTCATTTATAATGAAATCCTTTAATTCATTAGATAGCAGATTGCTATCTCCTTGAAAAAAAGTTTTCTTTTATTGTTATCTTCTACAGAAGAACCATATCTGGATTTGGTCCAACCGAATTTGATTTTACCGTTTCTGTATCTACAATTCAATATAGATGGAGATATATCCAAGCTAAATACAGCTAAGTATCACGTTATCAGTGTAATTTTGAATACTTAAAGGTTTGCTTTATTCTCTTCCTAGTTTTCTTTAACTCCGCCGTGACAACTTTGTCCGTTGTCTCAGCTTCAGTCAACCTATCTTCCAAGATTTTTTCTTCCTTTTTTTTCAGCTTATTTAACTCCTCTGTAGACATCCCCTGATCATGCTTACATTTGTTTAAAGAGCATGTTAAGCTTGCAACTTTGTTTTGGTTCAGGGTGCTTTGGTTAAAAAATCTACTAGAAAAAGGAGTAGAGAGATCTAATTTTTTTTTTTGTAAAGCAAAATGTGGAGATCGGATTTACAAACTCCGATCTACTAATTAAATTAGTAGTTTGGATTTAACGAATCCGATTTAATAAAATAACAATTTTTTTCGGAAAATACATGTGGGAAAAATGTATTGCAAGTCAAATAATGAACAGTAAAAGGTCGGATTTTAGGAATCCGACCTTGTATATTTTTATTAAAAAAATATAGGTGGGAGATTTGAAAATTAAGAACAGTACAAAGTCGGATATACAAAATCCGACCTTATTTAAGCATACCTAACAGTAGATATCGGCATTGAATGGACGTTATTAGCTGGCAAAAGGTCGGATTCTTGAAATCCGGCCTTCCTTTTAAATCGAATTTCCTAAATCCGATTTTACTTATAAACTCGGATTTTAGAAATCCGACCTTTTTGTGTTATAATGGGGCGACGGAAAACATTGTTCACATATCGGGATTTTTGAAGGAGGAGGTGATTTTAGTGGCGATTTGAAGATTTTGTTCACGATTCATCGCAACGGATGTCTTAAAACCATTTCACAAGAAGGTTAGTTAATGTTTTGATGTATTTAGAATTATTGTTGTTATTTTCTTTGTAAAAGTGTAGAACTAGGATGATAATTTATAAGGTTTTAGGGTTGATGTTGGGTGTAGTTGATGATTGTTGTTGTATACGTGGTATTGAACGTTCAATTTAGTAAAATGCTTGAATTTGGCCTAAACTTTTGAATTTGTAGGGGGTTTAGTAAATTTAGTGCTGATTATGCCTTGTTTGTGGTAATTGTTATAATAAGTTGTTTGATAATGCCTTGTTTGTGTAATTTTTTTTAATAATTTATTCATGATGTGTTGTAATTCATGTAATCAACAGATATAAATGGCGTTTAACGGTCCATATTTCATTAATGTCTATTGGTCGAGCAAATTTGTAGTGAAGAATGGGATTGTGAATACTTTTAACAACATGTCGGACGATTCCTTTGTGATTGATCATAAGTTATTGTACAATGATTTGGTTGGACTGATTGGTGAAAGAGCGGGGTGGAATAGAGAGAATTTGAATTTGAGTCTATCGATTTATATGATACGATAGGCAATGGTTTTAGGCGTATCGCCAAAATCAAGGACGATGCATCGTTGCAAGTGTTGTATTTCCTCCCAAATTCAACATATATTGATTTGTATATAGATTTGGAGGTGGCGGGTACTTCTAGGTCCCATTTGGAAGTAGGAACAAGTAGTGGTAGGCCGAATGTGGAGAATGTCGATTACATGGAAGATGATGATGTGGGTGGACCTTTTATGGAGGATGGCGATCACATGAATATAATCATGGTGAAGATGATGAGGACTACACATCGATAAGTGATCAAAGCGATGAAAACCAATCAATATCCGAAGGAAGTCGGGAGAGTGATGAAGAGGTCGAAAACAAATTCGTCACAAAGGACAGGACATATATCGTTCACAGGGTACATGGGATCATACAAAAGTGGACAAGGATGAATTTCAACTTACCATGTGGGATGGGACAACCACAACAATTGGGATAGGGACTTGTTTCAAGAATAAGGAAGAAGCAAAAAATGGTATTGCAGCGTGGAACATAGAGCAAAAGAGAGAGTTTTATGTGAAGGAAAGTAATGGTTCAACATGGTATATTTAGTGCAAATCCCTAAAAGTGTCAACCCCTAATGGTTATGTTCCTTGCCGTTGGAAGGTACGTGCCTCCTTGAGAGACCACGGTTTGTAGGAGATTGTGAAATGGGTACCCGAGCACAATTGTATGAATTTCACCGAGGAAAATAATAATCGGAATGTGAGCGCAACGCTTATTGCGCATCTCATAAGGCATAAGGTTGAGTTGGACCCAGATTATGAAGTGAAGCTCGTTCAGGAAGAAGTGAAAGACCGTATGCATGTCGATGTTCCTTACCACAGGGCATGGGAGGGAAGGAGAAACGCTATCGATCTTTTTTACGGCGACTGGGTTTCCAATTTTGACATACTTCCAAGGTATTTACTTAAGTCCTATCTAATTTTTTTGATTTGTTTATAATTTAAGAATAAAATAAGGATTAATTTTTTTATTTTAATTTAGGTTTTTCGCCGCCCTAGAGAAGAGCAACCCCGGCACAGTTGTAGAGTGAGAATGGCAACCGGGTTGGACCGATATAGGGAGGACGTTCAAATACGTTTTTTGGGCATTCAAGCCTGCAATTGATTGTTTTGCTAAATGTCCTCCAGTGATTAGTATCGACGGGACGCACTTGCGTGGCGGATACAAAGGTAAATTACTTGCTGCAATGGTCAAAACTGCGAATAAGCGTATCATGCCAATTGCATATGCGATCGTGGATGAAGAGAGTGAGGAAAATTGGTCATTCTTCTTGAAGCATTTGAGGAATCGTGTTATATCCGACTGTCCTGTGTGTGTTATATCCGATCGGCACAAGGGTATCATCAGTGCAATACGCCTAATGCCCGAATGGAATGCATACCACCGGTTTGGCCTTCGTCACGTCCGTAGTAACTTGGTGGCGCAATTTCGAAGTAAGAAGATGAAAACGTTGTGTTAGGAGATGGGCACGAAACTTTCTAAGTCTAAATTCAAAGAACTAAGGAAAGAGCTACGTGATTTTAGCAATGATGCTTATTTGTATCTTGAGGAGATTGATGCTTGTCAGTGGACTCTTGCCAAAAACAAACACTATCGTTGGGGTAACCAGACAACCAACATTTCTGAGAGCTACAACAACGTCCTCAAGGGCGTTCGTTTCTTGCCGATTCGAGCTACAACAACTATATATTCGGTTGACCAAAATTTGAGGGAGTCAAAATCGACTCCCCCTTCTTCTCCAACCCTAATCGACTCCCCGGCGATTTCCTCTTCCCGGCGATTTCCCCTCCCCGGTGACCTTCAGGTAATTTGTCCCTTTATTTCATTTTCATGTGTGTTTCCCGGTGACTGTGTGTGTGTGTGTGTTTTCTGGTAACTGTGTGTGTGTGTGTGTGTTTCCCGATGACCGATTCGGTGTGTGTGTGTGTGTGTGTTTTCCGGTGACCAATTCGGTGTGTGTGTGTGTGTGTGTGTTTCCCGGTGACTGTGTGTGTGTGTTGCCGGTGACTGTGTGTGTGTGTGTGTGTTTCCCGGTGACCAATTCAGTGTGTGTGTGTGTTTGTGTGTGTTTTCCGGTGACTGTGTGTGTGTGTGTGTGTTTCCCGGTGACCAATTCAGTGTGTGTGTGTGTGTGTGTGTGTGTTTCCCGGTGACTGTGTGTGTGTGTGTGTTTCACGGTGACCAATTCAGTGTGTGTGTGTGTGTGTGTTTTCCAGTGATTGTGTGTGTGTGTGTGTGTGTTTCCCGGTGACCAATTCAGTGTGTGTGTGTGTGTGTTTGTGACTCTGTGTGTTTGTGTATTGATAGATTATGGAACATGGTATTGATAGTATTGGTATTGATAGTAATGGTATTGATAAATGTTGATAATATTTGGTATTGTAGGATTAAAAAATAGAGGGTTCGAGCTCCTCGCAACCTACACTGCAACATTTTAATCCGGCTCTAATAGATGACTCATTATTATACCTTTATGACCATCATAGGGCGAAAGCCATTTTCGAGAACCATGATGCGTTTAGTAAAGCCCTTAAAGGTAGGAGATTTGATAGTCATTTTTGGACGTGTATAGAGAAACCATCCCGGCATTCCCCTCCACAAGTTATAGATGAGATAAAGCCGGCAGGCTTTGGGGGGTGATCCAACTAGGTTATATCCAAGCGGACAATTGTTTGATCACCGCAATGGTTGAGAGGTGGAGGCCTGAAACTCATACCTTTCATTTTCATTTTGGCGAGGCCACTATCACTCTAGAAGACGTTGAGGTGTTATTAGGTTTGAAAGTGGATGGTAAGCCTGTGGAGGGGATGACACCTGAGAATTCTATGGCACAGTGGATGGCGATGTGCTTTAGATTGTTGGGAATTACACCCGTTAGTGACATGTTTGATGGGAATAAGATTTATGCAGAGTATTTAATCAACGAGTGTCTGCGTCCGATCCCAGAAAATGCCCCAAGAGAGGCCTATACACAGAGGGCCCATGCATTACTTTTACTACTGATTGGAGGTTTCTTGATTCCTGACAATACGGGAAACAGAATACCGTTTTGAATCCTGACAATACTCGAGGATTTGGATGTCTGTGCTACCTACAGTTGGGGGTCAACTGTGTTAGCGAAGTTCTACTTTGCTTTGTGTCAAGCTTCCGCGCCCGGGAAAAAAGACATTACCGAATGTTATATGCTGATGCAGGTAAATTTTTTTGTTTCTTTGTTTATTTATATTTTTTATTATATTTTTGTTTGTTTTCCTAATTTGTGCCTTTTCTGTTTGATTTAAAATTTCAGTTATGGGTTTGGGAGCGTATCCCAAGACTTCAACCGAAGAGGAAGGTTAAAGATGAGAGTTACTTGGTGCCGGACGCACCACTAGGCAATAGGTAATTATAGATTTATTTTATCAATTTTTATTTCCTATTGTGTCTCGATCCAATGATTTATTTTATTAATTTTTATTTCCTATTATGTCTCAATCGTAGGTGAAAATGCCCAAAATCCAAAGCGAACATCGCCGCTCATTGTGTTGCTGGCATCAGGGATCAGTTATCTAGCCTAAGGGATGGAGATGTAAGTATTGATTTAAGTTGCTCGATAAAATTCCTTTTCATTTTTTCTCTGTTTTTTTACCAATTTTTTAATTTTGGACAGTTTCTATGGACTCCATACACTCCATCGACGATTTTCCTGATTTCTGTAAAGAGGGGGTTCATTTCTACCTCTGTAGGACGTGAATCTTTTGTTGGGCCATCAGAGAACCATACGAGCCCAATCGGGTCCTTCGTCAATTTCAATGCGTGCAAACTGTGCCAGAGTACCCGTTAATCAATGACATTGATCGCTGGAATGCGATACACCACGGATGCCTTGGGACTGGAAAGGCATATGATGATTGGGTGCAAAAACACACTGAGGTACGACCTCATTGGAATGTGAGAGATTAGCACGTGGTCCCTCATGAATTGGTTGATCCGAAACTAGGTCCTCAATGCACATCGGACTACATGCGTGGTTTCAAAAGAAGACTATCAGATTTATGACTGATCCCACTCAATACGCCCTCTGGCACAGGGTTATCACTCGTCTTCATCTCTGGAGAGATTTTATGTAAGATATATGTCGATATTTTATTTTAAATTTTTTTTATTTTTTAATTCTTGTTATATCTTATACTTTATTAACATGGTTCAATTTTCTGCAGTCTTCAAATCTCAGCGATATATATCATCTCACTGATGTAGCCTTACGGGAAAATCCAGGCCTCGGTGGTAGTCTAGAGGATAAACTCTTCCAAATCTTCGATAAGAGTTTCAGTGCCCTGACTTTGGGCCCACGTGATATGAGCACTCAGCCCGATACTCAAGTTCTTCAGAAAAGACCTCCAGAGTCAAGTCAAAATGTGGTACTCACACAGAAAACAACATCGAAGCCTACTGGAGGAGGAAGGAGGAAGCGACCGGAAATTTCAGATCGAACAATCATAGTTCATCCCAATCTAACTCCGATGCAAAAAGATGATGAAGATGATGAAGATGATGAAGGCAAAGCAATGAGGATTACTACATTAGGGGCGAAGAAGAAGAAGAAGAAGAAGAAGAAGAAGAGTCTTCTCCACCTCGTGTTTCTTCCCAAAAGAAAAAGAAAACGGTCGAGGTTCGCAAGATTGATAGGGTTAGTAAACCGGCCAAGAAGTATACTCCCGGCGACGAGGCTATAAGGAAGAAAAGGTCGTCAAAGTAATTCAATTGTAGGACTATTTGATGTATAAATGTTGTAATTTGGATGATTTTGGGATTTGAATTTGTTAATGTTTGTTTCGATGTGTTTAGAATGTGTTTATAGGTAATTTTATGCGTTAAATTTGGTTTGGTGCTGTTTTGATAGGTTGGGATTGGTTTAGAAACCAATCCTTTGTTTTTTTCAAAGTGTCTGTCCAAGGTCGGATTTGAGAAATCCGACCTTCTACTTGTTTTACTATGAAATCGGATTTTGAGAATCCGATCTTAACTTACCCGGATTCTCAAAATCCGATTTAAGCTTACCCGGATTTCTGAAATCCGACCTTATACAAAAATCGGATTTTAAAAATCCGACCTTGGTCAAAATTTTATTTCAAAAAAAACTAAGTCTTTTCCTTGAAAATATTGTATTTTAATATGATAGGGTCGGATTTTTAAAATCTGGCCTTCTCTTAATCTTGATTAATTTCATTAATTTTTCGTATTAAGGGAAGGTCGGATTTTGAGAATCCGATTTAATTGGAAAATCGGATTTTAGGAATCCGATATCGGTATTTTGCTCTTCCCCAAAATTCGACCTATATTTATCTCTACTCTTTTTTTTGAACTATTTTTTAACTCAAAAACTCTTTTGGTTCAAGGTCGTTACTACATTAAGAAGTTAACTCGTATAAATGGAGCAAAACCAGTAGTTGAAATTGTCATAGATGAATGAATGATATAGAAAAAAAAAAAAAGAGAAAGCCACAAATCATTCTCTTATCACAACAAAGTCATCGATGATGCAACACATAAACACCTCCAAAAAGGAGGGAAAAGAAAAAAAATGGAAAAAAAATCAGAAGATTCAAAATATGTTGAACCAAATCAAGCTACATTAAAGGCGATGCGTGATATTCCCTCCATCTCACAAAAATAGTCCAGTTTAATAAAAAAATTTGTCCAAAACAAATTTTCTAGTTTCACAAAAGTCAAAATTAATTAAATCGAAATGACTTAAATATCCAAAAGAGTAGTGGTAAGAAAAACAAGGTCCACTTCCTTTGATTTTTATTTTTTTTTAGTTTTCTCTCATTTTTTCAAATGATTATATTTTTTAATACATGAATAACTAAAAAATGTGTTATATATCAAATTAATGTACATAACCAGATCTTTTCATCAAAATCCATTGTCAATATTTTTTGAGATAAAAATTTTGATCAAATTTAAGTTGTAAAATAAATGCATATATAGTTAACTTTTATAAAAATAACTAGAATGGGCATTAGTAGAAATTAGGGGCATAAAATGAGTTGTACATTTGGTATATTGACCAAATTAAAAAAGTTGTACATTTTCAAACTGGACTATTTTTATGGGAGGGAGGGAGTAATAAAAAGGTTCATACAATACTTAAGCAACAAAGAAATCTTATCTTACATTCATCAAAGGTGGTTCTACCAGGAGTATATCAACTGTCAAAACACACAAAAAATTTTAAATAATAATAACAATAACTCTGATTTTTTCATATTATAGCATACAATTCAGTGGGCTTGAACAAAATTTCGCCAAAAAGAAAAAGAAAGGAAACCCTAAATTCAAGTTCTAGCTAGCAGCTTTCCTGCGACCAACACGAGCAACAAAACCAACCTTAATCGGCGCGACGGATCTGACAGAACCACAATCTTGACACTCAAGAAACACGATCCGGTTCTCCTTCGATTTTGAAAGGATCGTGTCCCTACTTTTGCAACCATCACACACCACGAATTCGTTGTGATATTTCCTCAACAGAAACTCAAAATGTTTAGTCACAAATCTCCCTTCCACAACCAGCCTTTGCTGTCCATCGATTGAACCGTTTGTTCCCAATTCTGTTAACAGGAAATTCATAACATGTTGAGGCTCTCTACACATCCTCGCGCAGGTGTTCATGAAGTTCACGAAAACCGTCTTTTTCGCTCCGCGAAGAAGCTCTGGAGGATTCATCACTGTCCTTTGCCGCCTTATGAGCCCAGGATTTCTTTGGTAGAGGAGATTGTATACGCGGCGAATAAGATCTTCGTATTCCTTATGATCATGCAGTTGATGACCAGTCAACTGTTTCTTCATTCTCTTCTTCTTCTTTTTATTAATGAAGGAGGAATCGACCGGATTCTCTGGGCCGATATCCGGCTGCTGCCCGGATTTAGAAAGCAACAGGTCTTCCATCCTTCCGGCAAGGACGTTGACGGAATCGATCAAATTCTCTTCCATGCTTTCACTCATCTCTACTTCTGCCATATTGATCCGTAATAACAGGGACTGAAAAATGTTATAGGATTGAGAGAAACAAAAAAAAAAAAATACCCTTTTGATGAGGCTGTAAAAAGAAGGCTTAAGAAGATTATTATTCTGATAGCTATAGATTTGATGTTGAGATGCCTATGGAAAAAGGGTTGCTGAAATCTCTTGTATTTATATATGTAGAGTTTTGGGTTCTTCCTATCCTAATAGGAAAAGGATTTCTGAATGCAAAAGGAATTGGAAATTATTTAATAAAAAAGGTAATTAATTATGGAATAAACTAAATTAATTAATAATGGGAAAAGATTCGCTGCAAGAGAGGAATAATAAGTAGAGAGAAGTATTAGTTATTGTCTATCTATTTACTACAGCTAATTGACCTCTAGTTACTTGTGATTAAACTGTAATTCTTTCCGGCCAAACAACTTTTCGTCCAAGTTTTATGACTTCTCCTTTCAGTCTCGTGAATATCCATCACAATATAAAATTATTCCGAAAAAAATTCCACTTATATTAATTATTAGTCTAATTATATTGTTCCTTCGCGATGAGTTCGTCTAATTATTCTGAAAATTGGTTGCTGAAATCGCTTGTTTTTATGTTTTTTTTTTTCACTTGCCATTTCACACTATCAATCTTACTCCATGGGAAAAAAAAAACATGTAGAATACAAGCTTGAAGGAGTTTAATGAACTAAACCCAAACATTATACCCCATGCCTTATTTTTCAGCGCGTTATAATCTCACTGTATACGAACTTTAAGTAGCATTGACAACATGTCAAATTGGTTCTGTAATTCAGAAACCGAATGACAAAGTTAAGAGACTAATGTCGCCAATTAATCAAAATTATACTCCCTACTACCAAAAAAAAATAGTCTCAGTACGAATCTCGAAACTGAATGTGGACTATAGATTATTTTTCTAAGAGGGTGGAGTAGAAAACATTTATGATGAGGAGGGATTCTTTGCTCCTTAAAGAGGTGCATAAGATGAGAATTCGCAAGCTTGGTCCCCTTGTTGATTTCCTACTTCTTTTTAGTCTTGGGCTTGTTGGATATTCCATGAACTTGTGCGATAGTTCTTCCCCCTCTTATTTGTCAGTTGTACTTAAAAGAGTTAATTTTACACTGTCATGAAATAACTCAAAATGTTTTTTTTAAAAAAAAAAATGATTTGATGGCATGAATGTAGGAAGAAATAATCATCATTCCCTCGTTATATTTTTATTACTTTGATTGGTATCGGACAATTCTGCATCTCATTCTGATTTAGGAAAAAATAATCATCATTCCCTCATTTTCCTTTTTCAAAATCTTCAAAATGTGAGGTCAACATGTCTTAAACTCAGGATCAAACGAAATTCATTTGCCAAGATGGTCACGGTTTTTTGTTGCCACAATGTAATTGTGAATTGAACATAAATTTTAATTCAATAATTAATTAACTATGCAAAGAGACACTGTTTTGTCACTGTTTTTTTTTTTTTTTTTTGGTTTCTTCTTTTATGGCTGTTCAAAATATAAGATGTTGTTTGTCTAAGATTGGTTCCATTGCAATAATAAGAAATAAAAATAAAAAAACGGGGATAACAGCTTAATCTAAAAATATATATGCTAATAACCTTGTATTCATTTGATCTACTGGTTAAATTATTTTATACTTTCTTAAAAAAAATTGTTCACTCCATCACATATATTAATCCCCCACTCTCTGTTAAAACTTAAACCACTACATAGGGATATGATTCATCCAGCAAACTTAAAAGAAACAACATTATAAAGAAAGGAAAATAATATAGATAGTGAAAATATATAGTAAAATAGAATAGTAACTGATGCGGCACGTGTATAAATACATAATGATCTCCTATTTTTGTTGATAGTTATTGGGTGAGTGGTATGGTCTTTTTATTTTTTCATTGATCACTAGTATTTTATTTCACTATAAATAGTCACTCAGTTAAATTTCGAGCATCTTCATCAAACAATATAACTACTAATGGTTAGAAAATAAAACAAACTCTTTGGTGGAACGACGGGTGTGATAAGTACTAGTGTACTACCCTTACTCTTTAGATATCTCTTTGTGCGTTGTCTTCAGCTTCAGTCAACCTATCTTCCAAGATTTTCTAAATTTCTCTTTTTTTGTCCCCAGCTTCAGTCAACTCTCTGTTCTTTCAAGTATTCTAGTAGTTCTGTTTGTAGACTGTCAATATACAGTTTTTAATTAACAAGGTTGACTAAATAAATCCTGTCATTGCAATTAGGCGCTGTTCTATTACACTCGGCATTTGAAACCCAAAGGGGTTCCTTGATTATTGATCCCTTTTGAGAATTGAGACAGAGGAGGTTAAGATCATCAGAGTTATGAACAAATTCATTTTGATAGTTTGTACCATAATTAGAAATTTCAGATTTTGATATACTCGTTTAGTATGTTTTTGTCACACTTTTCGTGGCACTAATGTTGTCCGAATTGCCCGGTTTTGTCAATAATTAGTCGAGCACAAGTTAAGGTAAAGAATATCACAGTTCACAGACGAATCTATTGCTTACTGGACAAGCAACTGATGGAGCAAACTGGAAACTTGATACATGAAAACCGAAAATTCCAGGCCTATGATCAAACCGGAAGTCTTAAACTGCAACTTCAGAAACGGATGGCACAAAAAGAACTTGAATAAAAGGATATATAAACATTATACAGCACCACCTTCTGCAATGCAATTCAAATGTACTTAAGCTAAGGATGAGAGACCAGTAAGGAAAAATCAAGTGTCTGCTGTGAAGAAAGGTTTAGCTTCCAGGCTCGATTTTAGTAGAAAAACTACTATTTATATCTAACATGGAAAGGTTTCTATTTCAGAAAATCCTATGCGTCAAGAACTTCTGCTATGGAAATCCTTGACCTACAACCGTCTTGATAGGATTTCGGCATCTGGCCCTGCCTTAATACTAAAGAATGAGTTCTGTTACTCCCTAATTCAGTCTGACCATAGAACCTTCGTCAAGCCATTGTTGTGGAAGTCCTGCTAATGTTATCCTAACACTCTGTACAACTAACAGTCTACAACAGCAAACTAGTTCTTGGCTTCGATGATGGAGTGAGCTTATAAGTCTGGACGGAAGAGGCAATCCTTTCCTTTATTGTATATGTCAAAGAGTAAATCAATGTAGTGAATGGCAAGTTCTTTACAGTGCAAAAGAACACTTGGATCATCTTGTTGTACTTCTGAAACAGTTTTTTTTGGCTTGTTCTGAGGGTGCCCATCGATTAAGTACTCAGCCAAAGCCTTCAAACTGAAAACAATAAAGTATCAGTACATTCCTAATTAAGACAATGATAGGAAACAAAATTCAGGACGTTAGCTGAACAAAATAGGCATTTAGCCTTTTAGCTAGGAGTGAATTTTAACCACAAGGTTTGACATTAATTCCAAATATATCCTCGATTTCGCTATTACCTGATTAAGAAAAGGAAAATTCTAATTCCATCTTAGAATAAAATAAAGTTATAATCATACCTCATTGCAGCTGAATCTCCTGGAAGCAGTGGGCTGGTGTTGAATTTTTTAGAAGAAATTTTATATCGGTAGAGAGCACAAATGGCATTCATGCAAGGTTCAAAATCATTCTGAAAAGCTGAAAGCATTTCAGATGCCGACTTCCACCCTATCTCCTTGTATCTTTTAAACTTCTCCAACTTATGCGCCATGTAAGACTCAAAACACATACCACCTAGGTCACTTCCACTTGAGGAGTCATCATCATCATTAGCAGCATCATGCACTCCTCTGAAATCAATCATCTTTCGTTTCTGAGCTGCAACTCTTTCAGCCTCACAATCACTGATATAAATGATAATTGGAGATGAAGGTTTTCTAGTAACTGGAACAAGTGATGCAGCTGGCTCACTGGAGTTCTTCTCTTCAACATCTAGCTCCGAGGCACCACCAATTTCATCAGTACAACTGACATTTGGAGAGGTATAGCCTGGAATGAGTGCATAACAGTTAAAAAACAAGGAGAGGCGAAAACATACAGAATTCAAAGTTTTGCATAGAGAAATGTCTTCTGTGTTTAATTACATGCAATATCTTGTGTTGCATATAAGGTGAAACATACAAGTTGTGCAGCAGCTCACCAAAGCTCAAGACAAATGCTTAAAAAAAAAAAAAAAACAAATCATGACCTACCTTCACAGGGAAAATCCATGCCAGGAGAGGCTGTTTTAGGCGAAACAAGTACCTCATCGCAGCCAATAGAAAAAGCCTTCACAGTTGTCTTCGTGATATTTTTACCCGATCCATCTTGCAGCTTTTTTATGCCAAAGCCGGCATTCTCACTTTCCAGCCGGCTGTCAAGAAGTCCATTATGCACATCTTCTTTGCCCTCAGAGCCCCTTTCACCATCAAAAGCAGAATCAAAAGCAGAATTGAGTACGGCATCATGCAAAACTCCTTTAGTAAAGCTACCAACTGCATCAGTACGCATCTGGCAAATCTTCTCAACCTCCTCTTTAACATACTCATAGTGGATGCCCTCCCTTAAATCCTTAACATCCATATCATCTATGTCCGGTATGCTCTCCTCCAACGTGTGAATCATTATCCCTTCTCTACGCAAAATGCTATAAAGAAGTTTGACCAACTCCTCGGCATCAGTCAACTTTTGCCTCATTTGCTTCACTCCAAGTCCTAACTTCTCAATCTCCTCATTTTTATTCTCTAACTCCTCCAGCAGTTTATCCCTCTCGCGTTTCTTCTCATTTTCAGCTTCCTTCGCCATGGTTTCAAACCTCCTCTCTGCTTCCTTCAAGTCCTGTTCAATAGCAAACCTCTTGAGTTCTGATTTATCATGTTCTTTCAGTAATAAATCATGCTTTTCCTCCATCACATCAAGATCCCTTCTCAGAAGTTTGATCAACTCCTCAGCTTTGGACAACTTTTGAGCAGTCTGCTTCCCTGCAAGTCTTAACTTCTCAATCTCCTCAACTTTCCTGTTTACCTCTTCAACCATTTTACGCTTCTCGGATTCTTTCTCATTTTCCCCTTCCTTCAGTTCCTCAGCCAAGACTTCAAACCTTGACTCTGCTTTCTTCAAGTCATTTTCCATCGCGAGTCGCTTATGCTCCGAGTTATAAAGTTCTTTGGCTACATAATCGTGCTTCTGTCTCATCATATCAAAATGCATTCTCCAATCATTCCGTTCTTTTCGCAACCTCGTCTCCCGAGCAATCAACCACCTCCCCACCTCATCACACTCTTTCTCGTGGAAAGAGTTACGAAGTACAGCTATCATCTCAGTAACTGAAGACCTTTCAGTAATTCCGGCCATTGGTAAACTCATTTTGTTCTTCCCACCTCCCAATTATAACTACAGTCAGTACAAACAAAAAAGAAAATAATAAAATTACTGGGTTTTATCCCCTGAAGAAAAAAGGAACCTCCCAATCAGCAAGAAAGAAAATAAAATGAAGCTTTCCAACTCCACAATTCAACAAACAACAATGACAATGAGTGAATGTTTTTTTTGTTGGGGTCCTTTAATTAGCTTTTCCCTTCACATTGAAAAAATAAAAATAAAAAAAAGGAAAGAAAAGTACACCAAACTAACAAGTCCAATTCCGGTTAGTAACAGAGCAGAACAAACCCGAAACACCCAAAATTTAACACTGCAGAGCTAAAATCTCCTTTTTTTTTCTTTTTTTTTTGGCTTTCAAGCAACATCAAACAGCTCCCCACACACACACACACACAACACATAGCCCAAAAGAGGGAAAAGAGAAAATGAAAGACGAACTTCAGAGAAGCAAAAACCAACCCGTTGGCTGAAATTACTGAATGAGGCGACTTGTTGGCTTGGAGGTAATCAAAACAAAGCAGCAAGAAGATTGGTGTTAATGGGTTTTAATCGTTTTCAGAAAAATTGGAGTGGAGAGAAGAAGATAGAGACTGAAAGAGACCAAGTGAGAAAGTTGACAAAAATGAGGAAAACCAAAAAAAAAAAAAGAGGCTTGTAAATTATTGAGAGGAGTTTAGAATCTACCGTTGTCATGCTCTGAGATTATCTCCAATTGACCCAAATCAGGAGGCAGGGAGGAGTGGTCTGAGGTCATGTCGTAAATTGATGATGTCCTTTATGTGGTGGCCCACTCACTACGCAGACCACATTGATCAATCTGACTAATTATGTCCTATTAATTCTTTTCCCCCATGCTATATTAATATCATTTTGTCAATCATAATTTCCAACCTAAGGTCAAAAAATTTGGAAACCTCGTCGTGTTATGTTTCTGTCTCACTTTTTTTTTTTTGTGGTGATAATATTTTTTAAAAAAATAATTTTTTTTAAAAAAGACTATATGGAGTGAGTTTTCATTGTCTAAGGGTATACTTGTGTTGAAAAAAAATAAAAAGTTGAATATTATCTAATTTGTTTATTTTAATTAATTTAAATCAACTATTAGAAGATGAATTATACACAAACACACATGTTAAATACTCCCTCCGTCAAGGTTCATTTATTAGTGCTTTGACTTTCCCAATTGAAAAAAAAAACTTTAAAAGTATTTATAATAATTTGGAAAACAAAATAAATATTATGATGTATTTTTAAAGTTTTATTTTAATTGAAATAACATAATAAATGAAACTTAAGAGAAATCAAAATATTTTGTAGTAAGGACTGGGAAGTAGGATGGAGGAATGATGTTCATTTATGCATTCATTAGAAAAAGTATTACAAGTGATTATTTCATATTTGGTTTCTAAATGAAAGGAGTATCAACTAGTGCCTTCATTCCCAAAAAGAAATCGACCACCTTGAATTTTGAGATTTGTATCCAATACGAATTATTATTATAATTATTATTATTATTATTTTGGAAACAAAGGGAGTAGTTTCTTGCAAATACTGGGCGGTGAGATTTCAGCCTAACACTTACACCATATATATTTTTATGGTATCTAACTTGACACTAGACAGAAAAGAAGAAAAATTAGTTGATGAGATGCTTGAAACCTATCTTGGTCAAATTTTTGTTTAAAAAATAATAAATATTCCCTTCGTTCTATAATTATTGTCTAGTTTGAAATTTCATTTTTAGTTAAAATTGTACTAAAAGTAAAATTTGAAACTGGTCAATAATTTTGGGACAGCAGGAGTAAAGAAAAGACGTCCATAGTTCATACATGAGGTTCCAACCGAAAGGATTACTATCACATCATATAAGTGACAAATCATTCTATCAAAGTGACAAAATCAAAGAAATGCTAATGCTGGCTGAAACCATGCATATTAATAGTCCAAAATGTTAGTCAAAGATAAGCAAGGCTTCCTAACACACTGTAACACAGCTGCTCATCCCGAATGCCAAAACTATTTTAAGTGGAAGAGTAGCCCCGAATTCAAAAAATGAAAAGAGGAGGAAGAGGAAGCGGAAGAAGAAGAATAAGAACTCTCTATCCAAACTTCCCAAGCTCTTAGTCGCTAATGATCACCATCTAGTTATCTACAACTCTACAAGGGTAGTACACACAATTGCCAACAAACCCTGATCTCAAGCGTTCAAATCTCACAGTCGACACTAAGGCTATGTGCCATATTTCTTCAAGGATTAAAGATTTCAGACCGATGACAACCCACAATGTAACATGTCCTAACATGTTTGCAACTTCCAAACTTGTAACTAGCAACCAATTACAATAAAAACTACCACCATATCATATCGGGTCATATTCATTGAGAACGGAGACATTTACTGAAAACACTTACCAGTAGTGTAGTGACGTGACAAAAAGTATCTTTCATGATCATCTAAGAAGTTAAGATAAAAGACCTCACCAACATTAGGCTGCAAAGATTATAGTATCACATATAGCCGGTTCCAAATTACCAAACAGCTGCCTACCAAAATTTTTCAGACTCTAATAATCAAATTGTAGGTCGCAGACTAAAACTTCAAAATATAGGAGTAAAAATAACAGCTTGAAGAAAACAGAATCTACAACATTTGAAAACATCACCTTTTGCAGTCAATGTAGCTATACCAAGGACAGCCAATAGGTAAATTGTGGGTTCCTTAGAAAAATAGAAGAACTTCAGGACACCATGTATATAGATACTACGACAGAGACTCCATTTCAGCATAAAATCCAAAGAAATGTGAATATGGGAGACGGAGTTTTCTATTCTCAAAAGATTCTACGCTTCAACTGCTACTGCGAACATAAACATCACCTAAAGCTATCAAACAGGATTTTAACAAGCAAGCACTCTGTTCAAAACTAAGCATGAGTTTGGTTAATCCCATCCAGATCAATTTGAGCAAAGAACTGTAGATGCGCCATCCATGTTGAAACCACGCTGATTTGAGTCTAACAAATTGCACATAACGAGTACAAAACAATCAGTGGCATTGCATATGGAGCTTACAAGTCTGGACGAAAGTGACGATCTTTTCCCTTACTGTACATGTAAAATAGTGTGTCACAGTGACGAATGGCCAGATCCCTACATTGCAAAAGAAGTTTTGGATCTTCTTCCTCTACTTCCGAGACAGTTTTCTTTAGCTTCTGCTCCGGATTCCATCAATTAGATACTCTGCTAAAGACTTCCCACTGAAAAACAATCAATAAATTATATCCCACATCAAGGCAATGAAATCAAACAAATTCGGAACCTTAGCCAAAGGAATATACAGTCCTTAAACAGGATTAATCCTATGGAAGCAGTTACATCAAGTTTAATACCTCATTGCATCAAAATGGAATCGAGTTCCAGCAGGAAATTTGTTTCGGTAAAGAGCACAGACGGCATTCATGCAAGGTTCATAATTCTTCTCAAAAGCGGAACGCATGTCAGCTGCAGATTTCCAAGCATTCTCCTTGTATCTTCTAAATTTCGAAAACGTTTCTTCCAAGTAAGACTCGAAACAAGTAACATCCAGATCACTTCCATTGAGTCATCATCATCATCATGCACTCCATTATGATTCGAACCAGCTCCCTTGAAGTTATCCACACCAACAAAATCAATCTTCCTTCTTTTTTGAGCCGGAAGATTTTCATCCTCACTATCACTGATAACGACGATGGGAGATAGGAGTTTATTAGTTATTTCAGTGACTGGAGCAGCTGGCTCACTGGGAATCCTAGTTTCAACATTCAACTCTGGGTCCCAACTATCATCACTATCACAAGTGATGTTAGCAGAGGGAAAGACTGCAATAAAGAATACAGAAGTTAAAAACAATTCAGAAGGAAGTATATGAGAGAGGACAAAATCTACAAAGAAGAGGATGTATCTCCTTCATAACAATATCAATTACAACAACTCTTGCATGAAAAGTAAAATATATGCATTTGGCAGAACAATATCAATGCTTACTGCAAATAAACGCTTTAAATAGGCCATACATTCAACAGGAGAACCCAGGTGATGAGATTCTGACCTCGGTGAAACTCCTACATCAGCACAGCCATTAGACAAGTTCGCAACAATCATTTTCTGAAGATTTTCATCTGATCCATTCTGCTGCTTTTCAGAGCCAGAGTTAGTGTTCTCACTTCTGAGCAGGCCTCTGTCAGCTCCATCTTGCAAATCCTCACCAACATCAGCACAGCCATTAGCCAAATTCTTAACAATCGTTTTCTGAAGATTCTCATCGCATCCATCCTGCTGCTTTCTGATGTCAGAGTCAGTGTTCTCACTTGCGAGATGACCGTCAGCTCCATCTTGCAAATCCTCACTAACATCAGCACAGCCATTAGACAAATTATCAACAATCATTTTCTGATGATTTTTATCCGATCCATCCGGCTGTTTTTCAATGCCAGAGTGAGTGCTCTTACATCCGAGCAGGCTACCGTCAGCTCCATCTCGCAAATCCTCACTATCATCTGGACAACCATCACACAAATTTTCAACAACCGTTCTGCTTTATCAAACTTAATTTTCAAAAGTTTATCATCTCCTCTTAGCTTAGTTAATTGCTCCCTGGACTCATCCCGATCATGCTTATATCTCATTGAGCGCTGTTCTATTGAGAGCCTGTTGTGCTCCGACACGCCGTATTCTTTCTCTAATAATCCGCACTTCTCTCTAATCGTATGGAGATCCCTTCTCAGATTGTCCCGTTCAGCTTGCAACTTTGTCTCCCGAAGAATAAGCAACCTCTCCACGTACTGTTTCTCTTGGAAAGAGCTACGAAGCACAGATATGAGCTGAAGCCTCAGTTATTTCAGGAATAATCACAGACTCTGCCTCTGATGAACTCAGCCGTTTTTTTCTTCACCTATGGACTACTCATTCTGATAAACAATGATGAACCTTTTTCATACAATTTGTGTTTTGTCTTTGTGATAAATGACAAAGAAGAAGCGAACTTTTCATTCCTTCTCCCGAAACTAATCACGAACTACTCAGATTCCAGGAGTGACACTGTAACGCAGCAAATGACCAAACAAAAAGGACCCAAGATAAAAGTGAAAAACCCTAAGGACCTAGAATTTCACCTTTTTCCAGTAATAAAAGAATGGAGGGAGATTACCATAAATGGTGAAATGTCTAGAGAAAATGAAGAGAAAAGAAGAGACTGAAACAGACGTCGGAGAGATACATTTTTTCGCGTAGTCTCAATAGAGTCATAATAGCAGCGCTTTTGGGTTTGTGAAGTTGAAGCCGGGAGTGGAAAACAAATTGGACCCAAAATTTATTATTAGTCACTGTACTCAATTGGCTCCGATTGATGTGTGTCACGCTGCATTAGTCATTTATTCATAAAGTAATCATTCATTTCTCACAGGTTTGATTGATAAGAGATCCCATTGGAGAATACAGAATTACAATCATCATAGGATGGATTCTGATAGTTTGTATTCCCTCCGTTCCAAAATAAGTATCGTTCTAAAATTTGCACATAGTTTAAGAAAACATTAAATATGATAGTTAAATTACTAGAATATCTTCAACTAACTCCATTAAAATAAATGTTCACCAATAATATTATTTATTTCGAAGGTATGTTTGGAAATTTTTGACCAAAAATGCATTGTAATCCGAAAACGACATTTATTTTGAAATTTCTCCATTTTACTAAAACGACACTTATTTTGGAATGGAGGGAGTACTTTGTACCACTGTTATGATTTGAGACATTACATTTATGTAACACTTTTTCTTTTAGAAATAAGTGGTAATGTTTTTCTATCCGATCTCATCTTTCGACCTAAAGATATAAGAACGTCACGAACAAAACTAGGCTTCAGAGACAATGATTTGCAGGTGACAGAAACTAAGGATGATCACATTGGCTTAAAAATCTCTACCAACATTATGCACAAGTTGTATCGATGACAGACCATCATCCAGCGAAAAACTCTATGAAGAAAGGAGGGTTGACAGATTCCGGACCAGTCATTTCTGTTGATCCTTGCTCCCTTTCACCTCAACATACAAACATGTATCTATCTCTAATATGCTAATGCTCTTTTACCATAAATCCTTAGAATAAATTATCTCTGCTAAGAAATATTTGTCCTAAAACTGTATTGTGTGCTTTCAGCATCCGGTAACTACTCTTTACAAAGAATGATGGCTGTTAATCCATCTAGTTGAATTTGAGCAAAGATCGTCAAGGCATCGATGAGGAACTCCTGCCCTGCTAATGTAATCCTCACAGTCTGCACAGTAGTAGAGTTTACACAGGCTACAACAACAAAATTGCTCCTGGCTTTGAAGATGGAGCAACCTCACAAATCTGGGCGGAAGAGGCGATCCTTTCCTTTACTGTAAATGTCAAAGAGTTTGTCACAGTCATGAATGGCAAGATCCTTACACATCGAAAGAACATTTGGAGCTTCTTGCTGAACTTCTGCTGCGGTTTTTGTTAGCTTGTTTTTAGGGTCTCCATTTATTAAGTATTCAGCCAAAGTCTTCAAACTGCAATAAGAATCAATTACTTCCCTAAGTAAGGTAATAAAATGTGAAAATTTAAACACGGTGGAGTATATATCATCAATGTGTCTATGACCAAAATAAGACAAAGTTCTGATTCCATCCAGAGACTAAATCAATTTACTAACACATACCTCATTGCAGCTGAATCTCCTAGAAACAATGTACTGGTGTTGAATTTTTCTGAAGAAAGTCTCTTTCGGTAGAGAGCACAAACGGCGGCCATGCAAGGTTCAAAATCATTCTGAAAAGCCGAAAGCATGTCAGCAGCCGACTTCCACCCCGTCTCCTTGTATCTTTTAAACTTCTCAACCTTGTTTTCCAAGTAAGACTCCAAACTAGTACCATCGATGTCACTTTCACTCGAGTCATCATCAGCGTGCACTCCACCATCATTCGAACCAGCTCCCTTGAAGTTATCCGTGCCAGTAGATTCAATCTTCTTCCTTTTCTGATCAGCAATACTTCCTTCTTCAGTATCCCTAATATTGCTAATAATGCCAGATGAAGATCTATTAGAAGCTGGAACAAGTACATCAGCTGGCTTGCTGAAGCCCCTTGCTTCAACATTTAACTCCTGGACACCAATTTTATCACCAAGAGTGACATTCGCATTCAGAGAGATAAAGCCTGCGATGAATAAACATACATAACAGTGACAAACGGAGCGAGGCATTACTAGATACACAGAGTTCATGGTTTTACAAAGAGAAGAACGCCTTCTTTGCATAACTATATCTATGGCAATATCAACTCTTGCTTGAAATGTGAAAAAATATAAGATCTAGAGAACCATATTCAAAGCAAAACTGCAAGATAACTGCTGAAAAAAACAGAATGGAATCATCAAACCTTTAACAGGAAAAGCCATGGGAGGGGAGCCTGCCCAAACAACTCTCTCATTGCTGCCAATCGAAAAAGGCTTCAGGGCCGTCTGCTCAGGACTTTTACCCGATCCACCCTGCAGCTTTTCAACACCAAAGCCAGCATTCTCACTTTCCAATCTGCCACTATCAATTCCACAATGCACATCTGCTTTGCCAGCACAGCCCCTTTCACCCTCAAATACAGAATTTTCCTCAGCATCAATTGAAACTCCTTTAGCAGAGCTCCTCATTGCAGCACTAGGCATCCGGCATATCTTCTCAACCTCCTCTTCTACATCCTCATAATGAATGCCCTCCATCAAACCAGCAATGCCCTTCTCCAATTTGGGAATTATTATCCCTTCTCTCCTCAAAACACCATACAGAAGATGGCCCAATTTCACAGCTTCTGTCAACTTTTGAATCGCCTGATTCCCTCCAAGCTGTAACTTCTCAATCTCCTTATTTTTCTCCTTTATCTCCCCAACCATTTTGTCCCTCTCATTTATTTTCTCAATTTCCACGCTCTTCAGTTCTTCAGCCACGATTGCAAACCTCCTCTCTGAGTCTCCCTGGGTCTTTCTCAGGGTAGCAACTTCATTTCTCAAATCATCCCGTTCCCTTCGCAACCTCGTCTCCCGGGCAATCAGCAACCTCTCCACCTCATCATACTCTTTCTCCTGGAAAGAGTTGCGAAGCACCGATATCATCTGGGCAGTGGTTGATCTTTCATCAATTCCGGGGATCACAGGGACTGCCTTTGATGATCTCATTCTGTTCTACTACGAACCCTCTAATTTTAACTACAATCAGCACAATAAAACTACTTTATCCGGTTCCTTGTTTTGCCCTAAAGTGAAGAAACGTTCCGGTCAGCCAAAAAACAAACAATCTTTCATAGAAGAAAAAACAATTCAAAAAAAAAAAAAATTCATTCGAACTCAATGACAGTCTTTTTCTTGTGAATCTTTCACCTCTTTTCTTTTTCTTTTTTTTTCTTTACATTTTTCTGCAATCTTCAACGTTGTTTTCTATGTAGCGGTTCTTTTATAAATTCCTCGCACCGATAAAAATCAAGAACTACTCCAATTCCGGAATTAACAGAAGAAAACAAACCCCAATTACCCAAGACAAAACCCTACAGAACTAAAAGGTTACATTTTTCTTTCAAGAAACATCAAAAAAAAACCCAAGAAAAATTTCAGAGAAACCCAACCCCAAAACCCAAAAGAGATAGAATTTTAAAGAAGAGAAACCAACCCGTCAGCTGAAATGTTGAGAAGTACCGAAGAACGTTGTTGGCCGAGATAGATGCGGACAGCTTAGCGTTAATGGTTAATCTGTATAGGAAAAAAATGCAGGAAAGAAAGGACCCTGATACTACTGAATGAGAAAATATGATGACCAACGGACCAAAGGCTTCTTATTTCTGTTCTTTGGAAACCGGGGGGAAAGGAGGGAACCGGAAAAGGCTTAAAACGACCAAAAAAAAAAAAAACATTTATTCTGGGTATAACACTATAACTAGCACGTGAAATTGGTTAATAACAGATTAATAATTATGACCCAAATACCCGATAATGTATGTTCAAATCAAACAAAACAAAGACAACGGCATCCCAACCAACTTAAACAACTTCAACATAAAGCATTTTAGAAATTCAGGTAAGGTTGATATAGAAATCGATTATGAAATGACTCTAAAGCGTCTAAGTAGTAAATTCACTCGTAGATATTTGTTAAATACTAATTTTTTTAGTGTTTTGAATATCACAATCGAGACAATAACATGTATTCGGAGTTTCTAACCATGCAAGAATGAAGAAAGAAATGTTAAAAATTTCAAAGAACACTTGAGTGATTGATAGAGTGATTTTGCACTCTTATCTAAAAATAATGTTAGCAGACTAATTAAAACTTCTTCTTTTTTTATTTCTTTGCCCTCCGTTTATTAATAATTCTCCCAAACTTTACAAAGTTGAACCAGAATGCATCATTCATGATGCCCCAGTTGTGTAGTACAAGATTTATTATTACAATTATTTTTTATGTTCCAAAATAGTTGTAATCTAAACTGATAGCTATAAGTAACCTTCAAAGTAGCATATTGCATGTAGTTGTAAAGGTTTATTTAAATTTGAGAGTGCTAGAGTCCTTCTTCCCGGGAGAACTTCTCTGAGAGTCAATTTACACATGGAGTCCTTTATAGAATTATCTTCCATGGATTGATTGTTCCGATTTCTGTTTTCAATCCAATTCTGTTTCTTCATCGTCTGAAAACATCTCCATTAACAGAAATCATGTCTTCCACATCTCATCCACCATCTAATCCATGTCGCAACCACTTTGACGGTTATTTTGGAAAATAAAAAACCACGATTTCTGAACTGCCATTCAATCTCTTCTTCGTCGTTCTGCCTCAATCTTCTTCAAAAATTTCTTCTGTTTTCCTATTTTGAACAAACTGTGTTTGATTTTAATCCCTAACAAACTGTATTTTACTTCTGTTTTTGCTTTTTCAGATTTGTCTGTGCTGTGTTTGTTCAGATTGACGGTTATTCATATCCTTTGTCACTTGAGGTTGCATCCTCTCCTGGTTGTTGTATTGATGGCAACAGAGGAGGAGTTAGAAGCAATAATCGGTAGATTAACTCTGAGGGAAAGTGAATCTACTCGTTACTCCACCAGTTCGCTGAATCCGAATTGAATTGATCCTTTTCTTACCATTGTGGGGAAACTTCAGTGTCCTAGAGTTGTATCACATGACTCTATCGCCACCCATTGTTGGAATATATGGTCGGTGCGGCATGGTTTCACAGTCAGGCCAGTGGGGGGAAACACAGTTCACTTCAAGTTCAATGATCTCATTGATCGTGCCAGAGTTTTACATGGAGAACCCTGGTTACTAGGACGAAAACATGTGCTTGTTCTGAAACCTTCGGATAATCTGGATGTTGACTTCAACATATGTCGTTGGTGGATACAGTTACACAATTGCCCTTTGAATCTGATGAATGAAAATTTTGCGAAGTTTGCTGGAGATCTCATCGGCCAATTCCAAGAAGTTTTCACAGACGTGGATCGCAACTGTACTGGTCGGTTTCTTCGCATTAAAGTTAACATAGATCTCAGGAAACCTTTTATGAGGGTTCTGAATTTTGATCATGAAGGCAAGGAGGTTACAATTCCATTGCGGTATGAGAGGTTAGCGGAATGGTGTTATTACTGTGGCATAATTAGACATGTCGAAAACAGTTGTCCAACAAGGCATCCAAATGCTGGTTCTTCTCCCCCAGAATATGGTAGTTGGCTCAAGGCAAAGGGGTATTGGAATCCATTTGTCTCCAGACGTCCTGCAAATGAACCGGATCCATTCCATATTCCTGTTGAATCTGATGAAGAAGTCGCTCCTGTCACTTTACCATATTCAAGAAACCCCAGAAATTCAAACCCTAGCCACACATCACCAGTTCCCAGTAGTTCCTTTCATATTGATCCATCCTCACATCCCCTGAATCATCCTGAAGTAAACCCTTCTCCATCGGCACCCATCATCTCGTCGCCTACCTCTGATCATCATCACGACCAATTTAATCAACCATCTGAACCACATGTTTCTCCTTCCACAAATACTTCTTTTGCAAATACTCCTTCACCTATTCCTATCACTAATTGTATGTCTGTAAACCCTCCTGTAATCACTCCAGTCTCCCTTGCTCCCATGAATTCGTTTAATCCTCCCTCAGATCCCTCCCCAGAAACATCAAACCATGTAACAGCACCATTAATCTTTCTCATCCCAAACAGAATGATACTAATGCAAAAGGAAAAGATGTTCTCATGGTACCCTCTTCTCCAGTACTTCCAATGCCTTCATCCCCATCCACCATAACTTCGTCCCACATAAATTCTATCCACATTCTGCCCCCCACGTCACTTATCTCTTCTTCAGTTTCTGTTTCTACTTCCTCTCCTGACACTCTATCTCAAAACATTTGTTCCACTCATGAACTTCCTCCCATATCTCATGATTCCTCTTCTATTTCTATACCTAAATCCTCTTCCATAATCCATAATCCACCCTCTCTTTCTGATCATAATCTCCCAAGCCCTTATCTTGTCACAGTTCCTATGTCTCTTGACACTCCAGCAAGGAAAGCAACCCGACGTTTAAACTTAGCCCGTAATCGTATTATCCAGAATGCTCCAATGAATGAATCTGTTACAATACCAGGTAAAAGGAAGTATGATATTGATGTATTGGATTGCTATGATCTTCAGATGTTGGATGTTGAAGTCATTGGCAAGAAACATAAAATTGTTAGCCCTGTTACTAATGTTCTCAGTTTGGAATCTTCTTCTACAATGGATGGTGGTGTGGCGGAGATTGGGTCTTCATCCCAATCCCGCCCAGCCCAATGAGTATTATCAGTTGGAATTGCTAGGGATTGGGGAGTCCCCGGAAGTTCGATGAATTGGGCAGAGTTGTCCGAAAAAAGTCCCCACATCTAGCTTTCGTTTGTGAAACTAAATGCAACCACCAGCATATATATAAACTGAAGATGAAGCTTGATATGTTTGGACTTAGTGTGGATTCGGTTGGCAATTCAGGAGGTCTTGCTATGTTATGGCAAAAAGATGTTGTTGTTTCTTTGCGATCATATTCTGAAAGATTTATTGATGTTGATGTTGATCTTAATGGAACTAGAATTCGTGCCACTGGAATTTATGGTCAACCGGATGTGTCTTTGAGAAGAGATGCTTGGTCTCAGTATGATTCCCTCTACGATTCTATTAAACAACCTTGGATTTTCTTTGGAGATTTCAATGAATTTTTGACGCAAGATGAGTTTCAAGGTAGTCGTTGTAGAGCTAACTGGCAAATGGCACTTCTCCGTTCCACTCTGGATAAAATTCAGTTGTTTGATATGGGTTTTGAAGGATATAAATTCACTTGACAGCATCTTCTCAATCATCCATACACTCAATGTGTGCGACTTGATAGATCAACTTGCAACTCTGGTCTTCTAGATTTATTTCCCATGGAGTACGGTGTATCATGTCCCTATGTTCATTTCTGGCCATATGCTCTTACATATTCATTTGAGGAGTAGAGGTCCAAATTTCTCCGGCACGAGAAGGAAAAAACCATTCCACTTTGAAGCACATTGGATAAAAGTTGATGATTGTGCTAAGGTAATAGAAGATTGTTGGAATTCTGATTTAGTACTCTTTGTGAAAAATTGGAGAATGTTCATGTCCGTTTATTAAATTGGAGCAAACATACTTCTTCAGACTTTCAAAAGAGGATTGAAGAGCTGAAGAAACAATTCCTAGTATTGCAAAGGAGTCAAATTGATGATCCAAGGCGAGAACAACTTGTTGCTCTGACAAAAGGACTTGATATTCTTTCCGAGAGAGAGAATCTCAAATGGAAGCAACGGGCTAAGCAGCATTGGTATCGGGAAGGTGACCGCAACACAAAATTTTTTCATGCTTCTGAAAACTACATTGAAGGGCTGAAAGACCAAGCCGGGAATTTATGTTCTGAAACCTCAGATTTGGAGAAAATTATCATGGATTATTATGGTGCTCTTTTCTCTTCCTCGAACCCTCTCGACTCTGAAATCCAGCAAGCTTGCAGCAGGATACGCCCCAAAGTAACATTGGATATAAATAATCACCTATCACAAACATATACGGCGAATGAAGTTGAAAAAGCACTAAAGGAGATGGCTCCTTTTAAATCACCGGGTCCGGATGGCATGAGTCCTATTTTTTACAAAAAATTCTGGAATGTTGTTAAATCTGATATTATAACTTTTGTCTTGAATTTTTTGAATTTAAGAATTTTTGAGTCCCAAATGAACTACACTCATATTGTTTTAATTCCTAAAGTCAAAAAAACTGGACCTCATTACTCAATTCCGTCCAATCTCTTTATGTAATGTAGTCTATAAATTGTGTTCAAAGGTTATTTCTAATAGACTACGTTCATTACTTCCTGCCATCATTTCGGAGTCTCAATCTGCTTTTATTCCGGGTCATCTCATCATAGATAATATTCTTCTTGCCTATGAGACTCATCACCATATGAAAGTTCGTACCAACTACAAAACCGGATTGATGTCCATTAAATTAGATATGAGTAAAGCCTTTGATAGAGTTGAGTGGTGCTTTTTAAAATCTGTTTTACAAGCTCTAGGATTTTGTTCTTTCTTCATTGATTTAATCCTTCAATGCCTTTCTACAGTTAGGTTTTCTTTCGTGCTTGATGGACAGCAATTCGGTAACCTAATTCTAGAGAGAGGGATTCGTCAAGGCGATCCCCTTTCACCTTATCTTTTCATTATATGCTCGGAAGTTTTCTCATGTTTATTACAGGATCTCCAAAATTGTGGTCGTATTTCTGGAGTGGGAGTAACCAAAGAAGCACCAAAGATTTCTCATCTCTTTTTTGTGGATGATACTCTACTTTTTGGTGAAGCCTCAACCACAGAAGCTGAATACTTGCAATGGGCTATCCAACTATATGAACGAGTTTCTGGCCAACAGATTAATTTTGATAAATCTGGAATTCTTTTCAGTCCAAACACATCTCTTCAGGTGCGCGCATCTATATGTCATATTCTGGGGATTCAGCAAGTTGATGGACATGACAAGTATCTTGGACTTCCTTCGGTTGTTGGTAAGAGCAAAAAAGAGGTTTTTGGCAGCATCAAAGACCGGGTGTGGCGGAAATTACAGGCTTGGAGTTCTAAGACTTTGTCTAGAGCTGGTAAAGAAATACTTATCAAGTCCGTGATCCAAGCTATTCCATTTTATGCAATGTCGTGTTTTTTGCTTCCTGACCACATTTTGGATGATATTCAATCGATGTCGGCGAATTACTTTTGGGGCGGTTCAGATGATCAGCGCACGTTGCATTGGCATTCTTGGAATTCCATGTCGCATTGCAAGAAGGACGGTGGTCTAGGGTTTCGAAATTTGAAAGCTTTTAATGTCTCCATGCTTAGCAAGCAAGCATGGCACCTGCTCACAAATCCATCATCTTTACTTGCCAGGGTTTTGAAAGCCAAATATTTCCCAGACGTAAGTTCCTTGATGCAACCCTGGGATATCGACCGTTGTTAACATGGAGAAGTATACTACAAGGTCGTTCTGTCTTGGAATTAGGGTGTCAGAAGCAGATTCAGAGTGGAATGCAAACAAGCATTTGGTATGACAAGTGGATCCCGTCGAGCCTTCTTTTTGCACTTCAGTTCAGCCTCATATCTTGTCTCCTACTGCTGTGGTGTTTGAATTACTCATTCCAGGAACAAGTGAATGGAACCAGGAGCTTGTTCGTGATTTGTTTCCGCAAGAAGAAGCTAACGTGATACTGTCAATGGTGCTTCCTCAAAATCAGCCACATGATCGCTGGATATGGCATCATACTAGGAAGGGCAACCACACTGTTCGATCAGCCTATTATCAATTGTTGTATTCCTTAGAATTCAGCAATGGAAGCATATCCTTGTCCATCACGCCGAAAGGAGTTCAAGATCCTCTGTGGAGAACATTATGGAGCTTTAAACTGCCGAATCGTATCTTGTTGTTTGCATGCGTCTCTCAAACAACTCTTTGCCTACTGCAACGAATTTGGCTTCTAGACACTTGAATGTCCCTTTTGATTGTGCTCTCTGTCAGCAAAACTCTCTATCCAGTTGCCATTAATTTTTTGAATGTCAATTTGCTGTGCAGGTTTTTCGTATTGCTAGTCTACATCAATCAATTATGCAGCAGCACCGCCTCATCTATGAACAATGGTTTTGAGCCATCCTGCTTGACAAGAATTTCTCTCATCGATCTTTCTTTATAGCGCTACTTTCTGAAATTTGGCAGGCAAGGAATTCATTGATGTTTGAGCAGAAACGTATAAGTCCTTGGTCCGTGGTTTTGCAAGCTAGCAGGATCGTTCATAGTTTTCAGTCTCTCAGTGTACATCAAGAATCATGAAACGACAGACTTCAACGCTTTCCTTTCTTTCAAGCCCCCCCTACGGATGCTATATTTGTTTGTTTTGATGGAGCAATTCCCCACACCCAACACTGTGCAGGCGCTGGGATAATTGTTCGAGATCAGAATGGTGCCTTCATGTTTGGACTTGCACGACAGTTTCCAAACATTGTTGATCCTGAGCTAGCGGAAGCTTTAGCTTTCCGAGAAGCTTTACTGCTATGTCGAAGATTGGGATTAACACATATTGCCATACAAGGAGATTCTGTCTTGATTATCTCTGCTGCAAATATGAAATGCGATGTTTCTTCTGCTTGCTCTCCGATCTTAGAAGACATCATATATATTTGCCAAGATCTTCCGGTTCGCCACATATCATGGATTCCGAGAGAAGAAAATGTGTTAGCTCATACTTTTGCTAAACATGCTAAGCATGCTTCCGTAATTGAAACTCTATGGAGCGAACCTCCTAACTTTGTATCTCATTCGGTGCTGGACCGTTTCCAGTAATCCTTAATGCAAGTTTGTTTCTTCAAAAAAAAAATAGTTGTAATCTAAATTTTTACTTATATTACACTAAAGTGAAAATTTCAAAAGAACAATCATTTTTACGATTTCTCGCCTATAAAAATATTGGACGAGATCAGATGGTCAAGTAAACCACTTGTCTTACTAACACAATGAAAATGTGAGTTTAAGGACCACTGTTACTGGTCATGGTCAATTTGTGGGCTATCAGCTATGTGATCTTATCATCCCTAGAAAACATATGATTTCCTAAAGAAACTGAATCATTTGACCATCGTTGTTGGGGGTTAAAGCAGTATTTTTTTTATTACTTCCTCCGGTCTTAACCTTATGATTAAGACCAGATGAAGTGTTGAAATACTATGAAATGAGGGAGTACTACCATTAAAGAGAAATCTTCTTAAGACCAAAGTCAGCGAGCAATAGAAGCACAATTGCGTCCATTATAATGTCACGGATTAAGAGGAGGCTGATGCTGGCTTTTAGCAAAAGTTACGTCTGAAAAGATTAAGGATACTTTTTCTGAGTAAAGAACTACGTGCTTATTTGGACGTCAACTTACATTTCATTTTGCCATTTAAAAGTGAAAAGTGTGATGGGTTGTCAAACCAACAAAAATAACAGATTCTACTCCTAACAAATTTAGTAGTATAGCAATGAGTAGGGTCCTCTCCTCAGGGAGCAAGGAAGTGAAAATATTTCTAATCAAAAGTAAAATAACTAAATGGGAGAGATTTTGAATTTGTAACTAATGAATAACAAAAATAATTTGCAAGCAATAAAAGATACTTTTGGAAAATCAATAATAAGAGCAACTCTAGTCAATGGAATAATTTCTACCTTGATGTATCCAACTGATCATTGATGCAAAGATTAACTCAACAAATGATGAATATATTAGTTATCGTTGTTGGAACCTCCTACAACTCAGTCTTTTTATTTAACTACCAGTGACTAAGAAACTTTCATTAATCACTCTATAGCCAAAAAAACACTACCTGGAACCTCCTAGGATTTAGTTTTTGACAAGCAAAGACCCAATTCAATTTCTAACAAACAAACCTTGTTTCATTAAAAATTGATTATTTATTCTCACAACACAAGTAAACTACTTACCAAGTAATTATTTGCATTGTCTTTTCTAAGGAACAAACAAACCTTGTTGTTCAATAAATTAGATTATCTAGGAGAATTGAATGCTACCAGCTATTCAAATAATACCAAATAATCATCAATACACATCAAAGAGAATAAATAAATACTCAAAATTCGTTGGTGAAAAGCAAACAGTTAGATCTTACAATTGAATAACATCAAGACTTCAATAAAATCCTTTAACTAGAAAAGAGGTTTAGCTACTAATCTTGAAACATTTAATATTAAAAGAGTACATAATTTAAGCTTACAGAGCTAGCCCTGGAGAAAACAGAGAGAAAAATTTGAAACCAGAGGCTTAGAGCCTCCCTATGCCTCCTACCATCTAACTCCCTCCAAATAATAAGAAAAAGACTATTTATATGCAAATTTAGGACATTCCCACGTTCAGCCCGTTCAGAAATCGCAGCAAGCAATTAAAGTTTTCATAATTTGCAAATTGGCCCCTGAAGTTTTCCAAAATTATATTTAACCCCAAAACTTTGGAAATTTTGCACTTCAGTCCCTATTTCAGCGTGCCCACGCGGGAATACAATATTGTTGCTGGAATTTCCTGCTTCCTTCATTGATTTTGGCATGGATTTTGTGTGCCCACGCGGGAATCAACCACTTCTTCTCCAACTTGAAACTTGATTCAATAAAACTTTCAAAATCTCTTCAAAATCAACACTTTACTTCTTTTTGTTCCAAATCCTTCCTATGATCAAATTAAGAACCAAAGCACTAATATTAGCATAGATAATATTCAAAACAACACATAAACCACCACAAATATCATGCTAATATTAACATTATCAAAGTGTTTCAAATTGAAAACTAAATGGGAAATAAAAATGTTGTTTGGATGTTGGTTTGAAAAAAAGTATTTTGAACTACATTTTAAAATATTAAGTACAAGTCATCACTATACAATTAAATACTGCCAATTATAGTCACTGCAAAAAAGAACTTTTCTAAAAACAATCACTCAACAACGGAATCCTACCAAATTTGTCACTAAACTATTTGTGGTTCTAAAATTATCATTACACTAACAAAAGGTGTTCCAAGTTGGAATTTAAAATGTAAATCAGAAAGTTATTTGGATGATATTTTCTTTTCTATTGGGTTTTGTGTTTAAGAGGTAAAATGAGTGAAAATGTAAAATGAGTTGATGTCCAAACAAGGCCCTTTCAGAAGTCAGGACACTGCCCCAAAGCTTCCCCAAGTTAATACAGCTGCCTCATCACAATGCCAAAACATTTTTTTCGGACTTAAGAGAATTTCGACTCATAAACGAAGGGAAAAAGTTAAATCATAATTCCATTAGAACTTCCCCAAGCTCTTGCTAGCTAGTGATTAATATTTACAGCTCTACCCAGATGCTAATCTTCACTTTCAACAATTTTCTGCTTCTTCCATTTGTATGCAGCTTCCAAAATCTTCAGACTAGTGGTGGTTGCATCTTCAGGGAATAAGTAATCGATATATTCTTCGTATCCAGCTGGGCTATCCTCAGTCTCTATCTGCCTTCTTTTCTTGAGTTTTTTCGACAGTTTAGAACAGACAAGATCAATATCGCCGAGCTCGCCAAAACTACTCTCCATATTTAACCACTCTTCCAGTTTAATTCATGTATTTATTTAATTCATGTATTTAATTTAATTTTTTTATTTATTTTATTTGAGTATTTATTTGGTAGTTAAATAGATAATTTATCTTAATATTTAGGATTTATGGTATTAGTAAATAAATAATGTTTAACTTAAATATTTAGAGAATATTTTTTAATTATGTATTATGTTCATAAGTTATAGTTGTTATATTAAATAGGTAAATTTTTAATTAATTATGTTTTTAGTTTGTTATATATTTAAATTATGTTAATTACGTAATATGTTCGTATGAAATAGTTTTTTTTGTTAAATATGTGTTTAATTTATTGTTAGTTTAGAAAGAATTGGTTAATTAGGTAGTATGTTCATTATTTACAGTTGTTATATTAAAACGGTAAGTTTTTGTTAATTAGGTAGTATGTTCATTATTTACAGTTGTTATATTAAAATGGTAAGTTTTTGTTAATAATGTATTTAGTTTGTTATTAGTATATATAATGTTAATTAATTATCTTTAAAGTATAATATCATTATATCGGATTATATATTATATTTTTATTTATAATGAATTATTTGTGATTTAATATTATTATAATTAATTTAAGTTATGATATAATTTATTTTTAATGTGTGCATGATAGGTTTGATCAGGGAGATGACACTGATTATAGTTCGGCTTTTGCTATAAACGAGACTTTTGCCGAAAGGCCTGACGCTATTGCATATGCGAAGGGTATTGTAAATATGTACAACATGAAGTTAAGTATATCTTCGCATAAGGATAGTCATACCCTATTCTTTTGTCATAAAGGATGCCAGTACCAAGGTCAACAGGTGGACGAAACCATGCGAGCCTGACCCAATACGAAGATACAGATGACCGGATGCCAGTTTCGTATTACTGTCTACAAAATATGTGATAGGTGGACGATTCGTGTATATCCGTGGGAAATGCACAACCATTCTTTGAATTATCCGCCTCGGGTTAGGAGCGGATTGAGTGCAGAAGTAAGAGAGCTCATTGAGGAATATTCTAACGTTGGGACTAAGGCAATTCACATTTTACGAGGGCGATATGGACACAATTTCCTGATGAAAATTTTACCTCCAAACAAGTCTACAACTACATAAATAAATTGCATAAGGAGGGGTTTCTAATTCTAGGTGACATGCCTTCCACTGGGTTTTTTCTAGTAAAGGTTTTAATGAGTCATTATCCTAAGAAATTTTAAGGTTTTAATTTAAATATTTAGAGAATGATAATTTTTTAGTTGGTATTAAATGATAATTTTTCATTAATATATAGTGTATTTTTATTAGTTATTTATAAATAGTTTTTTTGGTAGTAAATTCATAAGTTTTAGTTGTTATTAAAGGTTAATTTTTTTATTTAAGTTTAAAAAATTCTAAATAATTAAATAATAAATTGACTATGCAAAATTAAGTAACATTTTCTAGATATTTAAGTTAAAAAAATTATTTATTTAACGCCAAACAAATAAATAAATATACTTAAATAAATAAATTAAATTAATTAAAAAATTAAATAAGCAAATAAATTTAAAAAAATAAATTAAAAAAAAGGGTGGCGGCCAATTGGACCGCCACCCAATCGATTTGGCGAATGGTTTGCTCGCCAAACCGAGGGGGGTGGCGCATGATTTGTGCGCCACTCCCTTTTCAGGGGCACAAAAATTGCTTCCCACCCCAAAAAAGGTGGCGTGTTTCTCCTGCGTCTGGTGAAAAAAGCGCTGCCCTCTCCCCTTTTTTGAAAAAAAATAAATATGCGATGGCAAAATAGTTTTTTTAAAGTTTTTTAAGGTGCTCAAATGAAAAAATTAAGGCGTTCAGTAGCCTCCCAAATATTAAAAACCTCTCTTGGAATGCTTCCTTGAAGAGAATCGGTGCCTGGAAGATTCATGTTTGAGATTGAGATCTATCGCTAGTGACTCCACAATCCAGTTGGAGACAAGGAGATTCGAAAGACCAATTTTGGGGAGGATTTGTGAAGAGTCTGACGAGCTGATTGATCGGTAGCTAGCTGAAAGTAGGAATAGCAAAAATGATGCAAGTAGATAAACAGTGCATTCCAATACAATCTTATTGATTATTTGCATGTAGATTGATTATTGATTATGAAAGTAGGTATCTCCATTATTGATTATTTGCATGTAGATTGAGAGCAATGCTGAGAGACAAGGGACCCCAGAGATAATTAGGCTAGAAGACACTACCTAGCATGATAATCCTACTTAAGCTGTCTACATCAATATAGCAGAACAACATGGTCATCAAATTATGTGATTCGAGTAAAAAAAAACTCGAAAAACCCAACTTCAATTCAGTAAAAGAAGATCAAACAATCTTTAAAAGCTAGTTAGACAATACAATCAAAGTTGATTGAATAATGATAGTCATCTACCAACGAGTAATTAACTACAACTACTGCTACCACTACTTCTGCCCTCCTTCAAAGACAAATGATTTGTAATAGAAACATGTTCAATAGATTCCATTGAACAAACAGAATTCAGCCAAGTTAGGGTCACCATCTATCTTCTTAGTTGTTCTGTTGATTCTCTGCTGCCAACTTGCTGTTGTATGCTTCCAGTTCTTTCTTATAAACATCCATAGCTTTGGCAGCTGTCTCATTCCAGCTTTGTCTCTCTTCATCACTGAGTTCCTTCCACTTGAGAGAAATGAGTGCACTGAGTGTGGAGTTGTTAATCCCTGGCCTTTCTTCCACCAGTGTTTTCCTTGCCTCCTTGCTAAACAAGAGGAATGAAGAGGCTGGCTTCTTTGGCTTGTTAGGATCGACTTCCTTCTCCTCTTTCTTCTTTTGGCGATTCTCTTTTGTTTTCTACATTATCCATGAATCCAGTAAAGCAAACATTTGACTTGAATTAGATAACAACATATGATATGATATTGTAATTTATCTAACCTTAATGATGTTTTCTGTTTTCTCCTTCTTCTTAAGCAATTGCAGAGCCTCCTGCTTATGGAGTTTCATCATCTCTTCTTCTTCCTTTTTGAGGCTAGCAGCTTCTTCTTCCTTCTTCTGTTTGTAAAGTTCCATCTCATGCATATACTGCTCCTTGTTCTTGTTTGCAATCTACATAACGGGACAACCATTATTGTTCAGCACCAAAAGCTTACCAATTTTGAATTTCAAGTATCTACAACCAAAGGGTTTCTCAGTTAGGGAGATGAGAAGACAAGGGTTAGTACCTTTTCATAAGGAGCTCTCTGCTTCTCAGTCATGTTCTTCCATTCTTCACCTAAGATCTTCGCAACCTACAATATCGCACCAGTTCCAATTTCCAATATCAATAATACTAATCTAGCAACATCAGACAGCCACATCCATCAGCTAGTCAAATTGAAGTATGATCAAAATACCTCTAAAATGTTTTTGTTCTCTGCCAACAAAGTTGGGCGCCGCTCATTTGAGTACAGGAAGAAAGCAGATATGGGGTGCTTTGGTTTCAGTGGATCCTTCTCCTTCCTAAACAATCAATGAAACAGTAAGAAATTTACTACAGGCTACCATCCATCTATACAAATTATGGAGTCCATTATTAAAAAGCTTGGAGTGAATTACTTACTTGTTCTTTTTGTTATCTTTTTCCTTCTCTGCTTCTTGAGTGAACTGCACGTACTGTTCAAGCAACTCCATGGCTATTTTCTGCTTTTGCTCTTCCTCCAAAAGCTTCATGGCTTCATGCTCCCGCTTTTCATTCCCAATGATCTTCAAGTAAGCTTCCTTCTCGGCTTGATATCTTTCCTCATAAGGTTTCTTCTCTTCAGCGCTAATTGTCTTCCATTTTGCCCCCAGCAGATTTGAGATCTCCTTAAACTCTGCATCCGGATTTGCTTTCTTAACCTAGATTAGCCAACAGTATCCAAATAATTAGACAAGTCACAGCAATTGCACTGAGATTCTGTAAATAATTCTATTTCCCTTTACTTTTGCAGTTACCTCATTCCATTGATCTTTGCACCACAAAGCATAAGCAGGGGATGGCCTCTTGGGATGATCCCCCTTCTTCTTTCCTTTCTTGTCTTGATCTTTGTCTTGAAGAATTTGAATCATAGGAAGGTTCTGGTAAAAACCGAAACAAACATTCCAATCAGAGAATTATATGTAACATCTTCAATTGATTGCCTATTATCACGATAATATCAAGTCATCTAACATCTTGAATTTTCTAAGAACGAAGTCGACCAAAATTCAGAAACCCTAGAAGCATATATAACAGAGAGAGAAAGAGAAAAGTACCATGGTGGGCTTGAATTCCTTGACTTTCTGTAACTTTTTGAGTTCCAAATGAAGCTTTTCTTTCTCCTCCTCGTTTTGCTTCAAGGCTTCTTCCTTAACCTTCAAGAGCTCCTCGGTTTGCTCCTTCTCCAGCCTCATCTGTTGAAGCTTCTCTTGCATTTCTTGCAATTCTTTCTCAAAAGAAGCCGGTTCGGCTTGCTTCTTTGCGGCCGCCTTGGAGGCCCCTTTCTTAGACTTCTTCTGAGACACGGGCAGAGAGTTCTCTTTGGAGGCGACGGAATCAGCCGGTGTCAGCGCCGCAGCAACCGGAGATGGCTGGGTTCCGGCCAGAATGTTGGCCTCGTTCGTTGATGGGGCTGCTTTGGGCTTCAGCGCTCTTTTGGATCTGGGTTTCTTAGCGGGTTCCGGATCGGAAACATGGTGCATCGTTTCTGCAATCGCAGCCATTCTTGCTGTTATCGCGGAGAGATTTCTAAAGGGAAATTGAAAACGAATAGAGGAGGAAGAGCGGCGGCGTTGTAAAGTGGAGGAGCGGAGAGGATGGATTTTTATAGGAGGAGACGTTTCTAACGGCCGAAAAATTTGAAATTTGAATCTCTTTTTGAATTCTACCGTTGGCGGTTGAATTTTTTTCCCTAAATTGGCAGAATAAAAATTACTAGAATAATAAATGTCTGTTAATGAAGGAAAAAAAATCCGTTGTGATTGTGTTCTTATCTTGATATCAATACCATGATTTAAACCTCCATTGTGAACCAAGCCATGTATGAACATTACTTTTGCATTCTCATTTTTCACTTTAAACCGAAATCAAATATCACAGTACGCTATCCAGTTTAAAACTCATATATTAACATTAATCCCAAAAACAAAAACGCTGTTGCTATGATGTATTAGCCCTAGACTTACCAAAATCTTCACTAACAATGTAAATGACTGTAATGTACTGTCTTTTCGGCCTTGTTGAATGCAAAAAAAGTCATTCCCATTTCAAAATGATGTACATGTATTGCTTTTGCTGTAAGGGGGAAAAAAGGGTAAAACAAATTCACAGCAACAATCAGATACATGAAAGAATGTGACTGATTGATTCTGTAGCATTGAAGATCTTGTCAGGGTTTCCTTTTCCACCTTTCAGCTAAAGAATCAAGATCAGATCAACTTGCTGCAGGTTTGAAGAATCTCAAACTCCTATATACATTTACAAATCAGCCATTCACAATCATTTCCACTAGCAGATCGTTCCAGGAATCAATAGGCCCCGGTAAACACCAATGTAGACAGTCGTTGATGACCTTCGCATTCTTATCCTTCGCAAATGGATGGAAGAATCTATATGGACCAGGATGTCCATCAGGTCTCAATAATGAAACAGGATTTATATCGAAAAGTCTCAGATTGATCCCCCTCTCAGAAGCTTTTACTGATGCTTTCTTGAATTCTTCTAACTCGACATCCAGGAGAAGTTTGTTCAAAATGTTCCGTTCAAACTCTCCTTCCTTTGCGGGCTCTGTTCTATTGCAAGTTCCACCGTTGAACCATTCGCCATTCTCAAAGTGATCTGGTGTGATGGTCCTAAAAAAGATCATCCCGCTATGGTTTGACTCAATTATGTAGTTAAAAACACTACTGAGGACCTTCCCATACCCATACACGAAACCAAGCTGGGTTAAGTTTCGTTTAGGACAATTATGGCATCCGACTACAATCTTGTTCTCATAGTAAATCGTCGATTTAACATACCATTCGCCACTAGAAAACATGACGTAATCCAAGCTTTTAAATTGTTCAGTCCATGCACCATCTAGTTTGTCAAGCTGAAGTTCCACTTCTGATGACGAAACCCCGTTATCATCCTCAAAAATGGCAGCTTCTCCAAGAAACGGAGACCAAATAACCGACACTGTGAAGTTGTAGGAGGGAAAGAGCCATTTCCTAGACTTGTAAGACTCGTCATGGTATATTTGGACAGCCTTTTCCACCTGAACAAGAGAACTACATTATTAACCCAATTACCTACAGAGGAATTTTCACATGAAAGAAGGCCTACAGATAATTATGCACTAAGGAGGGACTCCAACTGAACAGGACACCACTCACAATTCAAATTATTCATACAAAAGTCATCAACTGCTGGACAAAACAATGGATGTACTCATTCGCAAAAAGAACCACCAACAGTTGTCAAAATCCGGTACCAAGCATTCAATACTTTATGTTCCTTGATGAGGTATTACAAGTGAACCGTATTTACTAACTAGCTATACGGTGCATAATTCAATTCCTTGTCTACTGAGAGAAAAATGATACCAATGCAGCCTATGTTACCCAGATTCCAGTGAGGGTGCCAGATCGGGTGTGGAACCATTGTATGAGACCCGTTAACATTTTAGAAAAAAAAAAAAGGGGATTTTCCACCAAAGTACCACACCCGACTTGGCAACACCCATACTTTGACATGTGTACTATGGCTCAAAAGTGGAGAGTCCGGGTCATATTATATAACTGACAATTGAGCAAGATTTCAAGAATCACAGAAATGTGGAGCCAATGCAAGACAATGGGGAAAAAAACACCTTACAAATTTTGAAATCATTCACAAAGATCTCACCATGGAATCTGTTCTAATAATATAAAAAAGGATGCAAAATTACACGATGTACAGCATGTAGCTCCCTGATCACATTTCTCTAATCCATGAGTTCACCAAAAATAGGGACAACAGCCAAGCACAAGTACCAACTGTACTACGAATTTGAAAAACACCATTATAGCACTCTCAGCACTGGCAGAATACCACGGTAAAATAAGCAATCCTAGAATAGTAAATATTACCTTGGAAAGAATGCAAATGATTGACTGAACATGGTTGCGCGATATGGAATCACCGATCAATGCCAAAGCTTTATTCCTCATTAATTCTAGAAATCCCTCAGGATTTAGCTGCGGTAGCTCGCACCCTTTTGGACTCCACCTCCAATAAAGATAACCGGTATCTGGGCGTCCATTTCTCATACAATTCTGATGGCCTTCAATCCATTCACAAGTCTCATTAGTATAAACAGGACCTGCAGGATGAGGAACCCAATCTCCATTGAAAAGATTGCACTTTCCTCCATTTTCTGCTGCATTTGGCAAAACAGAAAGCTCAGTTCTAAGATTTGATACATACTTGATGCATCATGCATCCCGGATTAAACCACTATATTAATGAAAACAAACAAACGCAGTGGGCATAAAGTTTTCATTCATCCATATACAAGCATCAATAGATCGCCCCAATGTGAAGGGAACCTCACATAATTCTACATTCCGAAAATCCTGATATGTAGCCCCTTCTTCATTTTATTTGTTTCAGAATCAATTCACCTAATAGCAATCCAAAAACAAACTAATTAATAAGCAGTCAAGGTTAAAAGGAAATTACTAACCTTCTCCTTCACCATTTCTAGCATCAGAATCCTCTCTGGAACTACTCGATTCTGGAGCAATATCACCATTCTTAGCTGCAGACTCTTCTCTGGAAATGCTCGATTCTGGAGCAACAGCCGAAGTTTGTGTTCCATTTGAAGGGATCGGATCACCATCATTTACCAGTGAACTGATATACACAGGAGGAGAATCAGAAGGTGCATTAGCTAAACTGACAGTATCCTGAAAAGGGAAGTCTGAAACCTCGGAAAATTCATCGGATCGAGGTAAATAAAACCTAAAAACCAGACCCAACAAAAGAGCCGAAACTCCCAATTTCAGGACCAAGTAATTGTGCTTGCTTAGAGACCACCACCAGGACTTCCAATTAAAAGAAACCTTCTTCATCATGGCTCTAATCACTCCAACCCCACAAAACTAAATGTGAAAATGATATGATCTTTGAGCTCAAGATTGCATCTTTATAGCTGGGAAATCAAAAGGGTTGTAGTCAAATTCAAGGGTAATTCCTAAAATGGGAGCAGCCTGCGTCTCTGTTTGTGATGGGATGATTTACCGACACAGGAGGATATAGAGTAGAACTGCCCCACTTCCTTCTGGACCGTTGTGATATAATTTATAGCTGTAATAATACACTACGAAACAAAAACTCAAGGGCCCTCAAAGGCCGAAAAAGCTCAATTAAATCTATTTTAATGGTGGATAAGCTAACAGCAATGGCTACTGATCCAAAGTCCAAACTCAACCAAGTGTTTATTACTACAATATTATATCGGCATAAAATACTTTTGGTTGCTGTATTGTTGTAGCTCAAGATCAAGGAATTCTACCGTTACAGCGAATCTGTTATAAAACTTTTATAGTAGTAATTGAATGTACTACTAAAATAAACAAATCAATGATCAACTTGCATGACCAAAAAATCATTGAGATTTGACGATAAGAAATTATTTTCGTGATTGATATCCCCAATTTTTTGTCATGTAATTCTTATGATTTTGGTTGGTAGAACGCTAGAAATGAATGAAAATTGAGCAAAAGCCAAAAAATCCTCTCTTTTTTTTTTTTTTTTGCTGTTGTTTTTGAGTGCTTAATGGAAAGTCAAGTTGATAAATTAGTGAATTACATCTGTAACAATGAAGGTACAATTCTAGAGTTAACACTTCTTTCTTTGTCTCAAAATTTATTATTATTAAGTGTATTATTTTATGGGACAAATGTACCTATGATTTTAGGTTTCGTAATCTAAAATTAGATTTCTATACAGCCCTTTTGAGCTTTGACTTTTGACCACCGCCAAAGGATCGCTTGTAATTCAGTCAAAGTGATCCAATAGGCAACTGACGAAAATCACTGCCCTCCTCTCAAGAGTAAATAGTACTACAGAAGTAGTTATATGTTCCTTTAACTAGTACATTTATTTTGTAGGAAAAAAAGAAAATAAAAACTAGTACATTTATTTTGTAGAAATGAATATTATACTAGTATTACTATATATATCATGAGCACCTATGTCCAAAATTACCGTTTTGTTTGTGGAACTAAGAAAACTTAAAAGGTTGGTTATTCATAAAGGTTACTGTAATTTTCAAAAGTAAACCACAATAAGGATAATCATAAAACTATTGCCCATTCACAAACAGGATTTGATTACATTTGGAATCTGGTGCCTTGTGAGCTGTGACAACTTTTTCACATCTTTTCCGAAAGCTGTTGGCTTCTGTTCCACACTTCCACTCCACTACTACCATTTAAATGCAGCAGTTGGATTATTAGTAAAGGAGGCTTGCATATGATAACAGTCCTTTTATTCGAAGGAAGTAACCAAAAAAAGTTGATAACAAAGGAAAGAAAAAAAAAGAGAGAAAAGAACAAGAAGAAGAAAAAGAAGAATGCCACCCCATAATATCTTGGATATTTGCTTAACAAATTCTACTGAACAGTTCTTTCTTCCCATACTACACATCTGTTCTGAATATACAAGTGCGTTTTCCAATGATCTGCGGTCTACCAAGCCAATCGGAGTAATAATACATAATAGGAAAACATATTTTCTTAACAAAACCAATAGGAACTTACTATACCTTCTTGCTTGTAATCAACAAATGATAACTTCTAAACCACTAAGGTGTTAACCAGAAAGCAAAACACCACAACTCGAGATGATCTTTGACATATCCCAAAAGCTACGAATTTTACAGCCAAAAGTCTAAGATCTTACTTTCATTAGTTTGTTGAAATGGCAGCAGTGCTGCGGACGAAGAAGCTTCATCTACCGTTTCTGTTGCTGAAGTGACTTCGGAACTTTCATACCAAATCCATGCTTCGCTCTCTCAACCCTGTTCCAATGAGCACTCAGTCAGAAACAACAGTGTGGTAAGCATGGTAGCATGAGACTACACATGGCAAGATTATGCACACTCTTTATAAATCGCAGTATAATACAGGGAATTCATGTCTCTACGTATGCCACATCATTCGCTTCCTCAACTTAGCTACTCTTGGTAAACTAAAATGCTACGATGGAGGAAAAAGAAGTTTTGAGACATGGCAAAAAGCAAAAATCCCCTCAAATTACGTTACCCAAAGGAATTCTCTAGGGTGGCCTAAGCAACAGCAAAGCATTTGAGGAGCACAGAGGATTGGAGACGCCAAATGAAATAACAGCAAGGCTACCAAGTGCATGTAGATCTCAAGGATACACAAACATATAACCTCAAAACCATAATAAGAAGACCTTTTCTTATTAACGACAAATATTTCTGCAGGCACCAAATCTAAGTAAATTTCAGTCAATATTAAAGCAAATATGGTAAGATTATCCCCTATGACAAACTGAAACAATATAACTACAGATGAATTTCAATTTCATGATCATCCCTGGAACCTCCTGCATTTTATTACTTCCCTCGTGTCCTAAATCATTGGTGAATTGTAAGTTGAGAAATTAGTTGATGCTTGTTTGCTTGCAATTGCAAATTAGTAAAAACTGAAAATAACTGAAAAACAAAGACTTTGATCTGTTTTTTTTTTAGGGTAAGACATAAGTCTGTTGCATTAAGTAGAAAACTTACGTAGGTGCAAGTTTGCCTAGTCCGTCCAGTTCTTTACCAGTGTCTTCATCCACAACTCTACCAGAAATCTCGACTAAATAGGACTTATGTCTTGTAGGTGGAAGGCCTCTACTGATAAGTAGATTTAAGTCTTTCTGGTGAAGTTCTCTCCCGTTGACAAACACATCAGTGTTGCCACCAGCACAATTTGCAGGCAAGGGATAATTGAATTCTTCAATGTTTGGCTGCAAAAATGAGAAATCCTACTTTAATGCTCACAAAAAATAGCGAGTTTTAACATTGCTTTCCAAAACAGTTTTCTACAGACAAAGGATCATCTAAAGGAGTTCATAACCATACCGGAATAATGCCCAGACATGGATGTCCCATGACACCCCAAAATCCAGCTCGATGATCATACCTAGCACCACGTATAAAACCAAGGAGAAGCAAGCATCAATATTGACATTGAGGACACTTGAGCACTTATCACTAATCAGTAACAGTTTCCATGCAATAGAAAATTTGTAAAATGAGGTCAGAAGAGATTTCATAGAATTGGCGTTCCAAGAAACTTTGGTTTTCAGAAACAGTAATTTATCTTCTAGAAAAAGTACGAGCCAATGAAATCAGAGTTAGAAGCTAAGAAAATGGAATGCCTCAGATCATAGTGAGTACGCACCAGTAATCTCCAGACTGAATAGGACCAGCCAATTTTTCAGCCTTTCGAACAACTTTATCTGTTATGCAAAAGCCATTCACAGAAACATTTGACTTTCTGCTTTCTGAGCCTTTACTTGACCTGGAGAAGTCTCCAAAACCCCTCTTGAAGAGCCCCGCAAAAAATGACTCACCCCCCTTGTTTATCCTTCCTAGATCTTCTTCTTCTTTTCCTGTTTCTACAAAATCATGGGATACATGATGATCATTGTAGGAGACATCTGTCTCGGTTGCTGTCACGGCATCCTTTAAAGAGTTCTGCCTAAAAGTTTTCCTATCTTGATCAATTCGTTTACTTATATTCCCCTGGCCACCTATATGCATCAATTCCTCTGAAGAATGTTCTTGATATTCCTGGGATGATGATGAATCAGGAACAGGCAAGCACTTATCATCTTTTGACAACTCAGTAACACAAGTTTCTTTCTTTACCATAACACTGTCTGGACTAGGCTCATCTTCAGAAGAACTGGAGGTGGAAGAATTATGAACCTGTCTCATCTGAGACCTGTCGAAATTTGATTCCTGATCTCCAGAAGACGGAAAAGGGTCAGGATCTGCCGACTGCGTGTTGTAATTGAAGTTCTCATAAGTATCATAGTTATGCATGGGGCCAATATCTTGATAGGGTTGAGAACGTTGATAGTTTTCATCTGGCATATCACTATCTGATGAGGCAACCTTTTTCACTAAGACTTGCTCAATTTTTTCAGGAACTGAAATGGCAAATCCTTTGCCATCAAGTTCTAATAACAAAATGGACGAGCATGCCCCACACTTCAGTTTCCTTGGCGTTTTTTGCGTCGACATTTGATGTCTTGGCAACTTCAACAACTCAAAGCAATTACAGCATGTCACAAAGGGAGCACCACCAGCAATAGGGTGCAAGAGTCGTCTACCCTTATTGTCAGCAACAATATTGTTCAGGCGGGTCCGACCAAATCCAGCAGTTTCTCTATCCAAGTCACTCAAACTTCTCGTGACGACCTTATTATCAAGAGGTTTGGGAGGAACGGGATTGTAGCCTTCTGAAATGTAACCTTGACGATCATATGTAAGAGGATTCATGTGCTGATAAATGTCACGGTTAAGATACTCATGATGTGCAATTTGACCAGGCTTTCTTGATGGCTGGATATTAGATGGAAGATGCCTATTCATGTTGATGCAATGGAAACAAGAGCAGGCAGGCTGATGAAATAAGGTTTCATGAGGATGCGACATAAACAGATCTTGATTCAAGTCCACATGGTGCCCTGGGATACGCTCATACCGCGGTTCATGATTGTACCTGTTTGGTGGCTGATACGACGGCGGCCTACTCAGCATCGGTGGCTGATAGACATCAGGATATCCTCCATAGTCATAAGGGAAATTCCTCGGATGATAAGGTTCTTGAAAAGGTATACTGTGTCTGTCCCTGTATGGACCATAAATATGACCATGGTTGGCATATGGAACTGCAGGAACATGTTTCTCCGGTGCAATGGGAACATTATTAACACCATAAGACAACCTAGTAGCTCCTGGATTAAATGAATTGTGTCTATCATATGCATCCAGAGCCGGTTGGGAAATGCGACGGTCATGATGAATCCTTTCCCTTGGATTTTCAGATGTATCACAAGATCTTGTGAGTTGATCAGTCAACTCATCAAGCTTCCGAAGTAGCTCGGCTCTATCATTTTCCAAATTTTTAACTCTTGCGAGTCCATCTGAGGCCTCACCATATCTATAATGATAATTCGAAGGCCCCACATCAGCATCAGGCATATTGGCAAACCTCCCTTGCCCGGCAGCATTGACGGGAATAACATGAGGCTCAGTTGAGCTACTTCTATCAATGCCTCTCTGATCTGCAGTTGCCCTTGTTCTCACCGACACGGCAGGAGGCCTAACATTCTCAAGCTTACTCTCAGCATTCAAATCAACATTATCTGGCCTAATAGGCTTCAGGTCATATCTATTATTAATGCCAACTCCAACCCTATTGTCATTTGGACCATTTGAAGGAAGCTGATATCCTTCATCTGCGAATCTGGCTTTTCTACCCTGATCAAAACCCGATTCCATCCTTCCTCTTCTAGATCCATCAATATCCTCAAGAACTCCCCTTCTCTCAGCTCCTGATGAAGAACTACCATTCAAAACAACATTTTTATTGTTACTTCTTTCAGAACTCCTGCCAGGTTCAATCCCATTAGTCCCCACACTAAGATCTTCTTGCTCAGAAACCTTTCTACCATTCCCATCACCAGATGTCTCCAATACCCTATCCTCCAAAAGACCTCTCCTATTATTAGCTGTACCACAAAGGGGAAAAAAAGCAATTCTGTCATTCCAAATTTCCAATCATTTAAAAGGGAAAACAACGCATATATGTATTACTTCAGCTCAGATTTTCACCAATCACTCCCACCAAAGTTTGTGGCTTTACTTAAACCACATACATACATTTAACAACACAAAAGAAGACGAAAATTTTGCGAAAAATTGAAAAGTTAAACCTAAAATTGCACTGAAAACATACAGTTAAAAGAGGGAAAGACTTGAATTACCTGCTAGAACAGTACCACAACCACCACACTGGTAGACAGAGAAATCAGGAAGCTCAGGCAGAAGATTTGCGCATTTGGGGCAGCGAACTAAACGAACGTTCCCAGCTTCCTCCATTATCTCACCACTACAGATTACAGGATCTTCATCTTCATCCCCGAAGGTAAAGGCTTCTTCTCAGTCAAACAAGCATACAAAACAGTAAAACCAAATCCCAAGAAGGAGAAGTATTCAGCTCTACATCCACAGAAGATGTGGGGGGAAAACAGAAAGAAGAACCCAAAACTAAAAGAAACCCAGATGTCCAGAACTTAATCACCAAGAAAGGAAGAACATTTCAAGATTATTTTAACAAATTTTATATGCATTCAAACCTGCTGACGGATTGAAAAACGGGAGAAATAAATGCAAATTATTGTAAGGAAAAAAAAAAACAAAGGACTTGTCAAATGGGTCGTGGTCGTACTGTACTGTCCCAGGGAGAAGATATGAAATGCATTTGACTTGTGTGAGAGAAAGAATCACACGCTAATAAAATGGCCAAAAATCAAAACCAAGTCTTTGCGAAAATGCAAACAAACACCAACTAAAAAAAAAAAGACACAAACGGGACAAAACAAAAACAGATTTTTTACAGTGTTTTTAAGTCTACTCACAACTACGTACTATTCTGTTTTGTTTTGTTTTGTACTAAAATGTTAAGGATGGAAGGGTCCAAATACCATGCGATTACCGAGGAAAGAGGAGTTCTGGATTTTTGGAGGGAAGATCGATTAAAGAAAAGTGAAAAAAAGGGAATATGTGCAAATGTGAATGATTCACACGATTCCCGACACGAAAACGAAAACTGTTATTTATAAATAGGAAAAAGTTGGAAAAAGTGAAAAAAAAAAAAAAAACACTAGGGGAGGCAGTAGAAGAGGGGCCAAAAAAGACGTTGTTTACTTGTTTTGGTGGAAAGAAAAGAAAAGGTAAAACAAGTGTTTTGTACTAGTTTAATTAACCCATTCGTCCCCAATGTTTGGAAAAACTCCATGTTGGTATAAAGAATGATAATTATTAATTCACTATCCTTAATCCGATGATAAAAATCAATATGTAATGTTGAATACAATGTGTGATATTATTATATTTTGTTTTCCCATTGCACTGAGAATCAATATCGTGCATGCATTGTTTGTAATTTTTCCTGATTCTCGCCATTAACATCACAATCCAAACAACCACGATTTTATTATACAAGGTGATTTGGTGAATATTATCCTAATATTTTAAGGCGACTATTCTTATTGTATCATCTGCAATTCACTGTTGGAAGAACTACGACATCGGCTCAATAACTCGTCCTGCTTTGCCGGACGAATCCCAACAACCGTAATAAAATACCTATTTTGAAAAAAAAAAAAAAAGCAACCAGGATTTTAGTTCTTATAAAGTGTGAGGAGTGAATCATGATTTCTCCAAATCTTTACGGGAGGTTTTCATAATTACATCATTTAGTTGGGGGTTGGTGTAGAAGGCTGGGTCATAAAAGTTAAAAGCTGATTTTGACAAAGTAAAAAAGACTGGTGAGAGAGGGGAGAAATGTTTGGTGCCTCTGAGCTGTATTTGTTTTTAAAGTTTTACAGGAAGAAGTGGTCAGTGAATTGTCGTTACTCTCCTGACATTTTTATTCACTTCTTTTTTGTCACAAGAAAAAAAAAAAGCAGTTCTTTGGTGATTTTTGGGTATTTCTCTACCGTTTAAAGCAACGAAGATGAAAATCCACGCCCTCACATTACCTTTTGCCTTTTAATTTCCTATTTTTGGTGTGTATTGAATTTTTCTTTAACCACCTTAGTAATATCGCGCATTACATAAACCATTCATTTATAGAACACTTAAATAATTACACGTAGAGTTTTTAAACAAAGAACAATAATGTTATTCAGAGAAATTTGTGATTTTTCACAAGAACCCTACCATTTTGAAAGTGTAATTGACAAACTTATGTTAGTGGGAATATTGGAATGTAATCTAGAGCACCTCTTTTATTGTTTTTCTAATAATATCTACATGGTTTATTTTTATTATAACATTTGACTGAAAAAGGCTAATAGATTTCTTTCTTATTCATTTTTAAATGAGAGATGGCAAGACATTTTGACCCTGAGATGAAATTTTATTACCAATATTAGTGAACTCACCGTCAATTCCTTGTCTTATTTCTTGTATAACAATTAATAAACTTTAATTTGACGTGGTAGTGAACCATTTAATTTAAGTGGAAAAAGTAAGAGGAAAGAAAGGTCTCAGAGAAGTATCTACTCTCAACTATCAAGTTTTTAATCAGTTTTTTTTTTAATTATAAATGTCAATTAGTTTTGATATTAATCTACATAATTGACGAGGTCAAACTCGCTCTAATACGTAGCTCAACTGATCCACCTGATACTGATTGAACTAACATTAATTAATGCTTTTGGGATCCTTAAATCAACCATTGGATCTTACATTGACTTTTACTTTTTTTAAAAAAAAATATTTTTTTCCCAGTACATATACACATATTGGAAAGTTGAAAAAACACAAAACATATGAATTGTTTTGGAGAGACGAAATATTATGACATTACTGATTATTAGAATAAAAATTTATGAGGTTGTAATTTTTAGTAGAATGGTTCAGAATTATATATGTATGCCACCCAATAATTGACTTGATCAAACTAGAGGTTATTTATCCTTGTATTGATGTTGTTAACTAAGTAATAAATTATTTTGAAACATATAAATATGATTAATTGTACTCTCTCCATCCTAAATAATAATGATATTAATGAGAGAACTTTGCATTCCTTTTGGAAATCAAAATCAAAATAATTGACGTACATTTTCCGTACTATGCATCTACCATTAAAAAAAAAATTAAAATTGCATTGTCACACGGAATTGCGGCCCTTCGTACGTGTATGATGCTAGTATAACTTTGCTTGCAATTGTCACTTGTTCTACTAATAAATTTGCCCAACGAAACACTTTTACCAATCAGCTGAAAGACAATTGTGTAAGAAACTTGATAAACAGATTTTAGTTTAGTCATTTGTGCATGAATTTATGAAGAATAAGAATAAGAGGAATGAAAGATTCCCTTTATCGCCCGTGCATTGTTGGTTGGCTTACCATATTTTTTTTTTTTAAGTTCAAACCCATATGCATTAATTATATAACAACAACATCTACTCTTACTATACACACAAATGGCCTTCATTTCTGACGAGAACTCTGAGTTGGAAACCAGCTGGAGCTTTGAGGCTTTAAAATAAAATTGTCAAATGGCCTGCAAATGGCCTTCATTTCTAATACATAGTACTCCCTCCGTCCTATAATTATTGTCCAGTTTTACTAAAATGAAATATTTTTATTTTTTGTCAAATTTAACTATATTTTACCTTAAACAACCGGATATACCCCTACATAAGTAATTGTTTAACCACTAAAATTTTATGGATAATGTTTTTTACTAAGGACAAATGTGTAACTTGATCCATAAAAAGTCAAATTGGACAATAATTTTGGGACAAATTTTTTTGAGCAAAGTGAACAATAATTATAGAACGGAGGGAGTAGTATTGTTTTTTTCCCCCTTTGCTTCTTATAAATTCAGGGCTTGAACCATTATTCTAATTAAGTCGGATAAAGTCCGAACAAGGAAGAAAGAAAAAATCCGTAGTAAGAAAAGTATTTTAAGTACTATTATATGCTCATGTGGTGATGTACATCTTGATCTTACTAATAAAACTATCTCAATATCTTTAGCGCATGGATCATGCCTTTCTAGATATAAACTATTTTTTTTTTTACAATAAAGGAAACGATTGCCTAATATTATTACTCTCTACGTCCCATAATTATTGTCCACTTTGCCCAAAAAATTTTGTCCCAAAATTATTGTCCAATTTGACTTTTTATGGATCAAGTTACACATTTGTCCTTAGTAAAAAACATTATCCATAAAATCTTAATGGTTAAATAATTACTTATGTAGGGGTATATCCGATTGTTTAAGGTAAAATATAGTTAAGTTTGACCAAAAATAAAATCTTTCATTTTAGTAAAACTGGACAATAATTATGAGACGGAGGGAATACTTCACTACAGCATGTTGGTACGAGATACCAACAACATCATGCTCTGATTTATTTTTAAGTGAAAAAGTCAAAAATAATGAAAGTCCAGTTCAATTGAAGCAATTGGGTAATTGCTTATTGAATAAGAAGAAAACTAAAAAACTCCTATTGTTTTTCAGGGGAAAAAAATGGAACTACGCTAGAGCCTAAACATACTGGAAATCAATAAGTCCCTCTCTCCTAAATTTGTTGTTCAATTTGAATTTTTATTTTCAGTTCAATTTTTATTAAAATTGAAAATCTAAACTGGACAATAATTTCGGAACGGAAGAAGTACAAGAAACTTGATTTAAAAAAAAAAACCCAACATAAAAGCCTAAAATATGAGAAACATTATTATCTAGTACTAATTCCTGTTTCTGGATTACGCAAATCTAAAATATGTGATCTCGGAGTGATCAAGACAATCTTGTGGCCCACCTAACATAGTTACTTGATGAGTGGTATAAAAGAAGAAGAAGAAAATCCAACCTTGAAACTCCCACGTGTTAGCGATTTGAACATCCACCCCGAGAAGAATGAACTCAACTTCCAGCCCGACTTGAACTGTAATCGACCCGTTCCCCTTCACTTCATCAATAATCGCATTTGTCACCGGAGCCGAGAGATTTATCTTCCACGCGCACGGTTCGGCGACCAACTTCGTCTGGTTGTCGGGATTCAGAGTAAAACCAGCGATATTATTTAGATTATCCACTTTGGCGAGGTAATGTTCACCGACGTCGGAGAAAAAGGCGCCGACTCGGCCTGGGGGAATCGTAATACATTACCGTGACTTTGATGGTTTGGAATTCAACGTATTTTTGCTTCCAATTAGAATTGGGATTTTTGGCGGTCATTCCAATCGTCCAACCAATTGGCGGTTACCTGAGAGGTGGACCCGTTGACCAGGTAGTCAAAAGCGGATGATACAGAAATGGAATCGATTGTGATTTGAGGGCCGTCGGCGTGAGATATATTTGTCCAATACCACATTCCCCATATACAGCCGGAGGCAACTCCGATGAGAATCAAGCATGAACAGGCGATTGCCGCAGCTTGAAAAGTTGTAACGACAGGTTGGATTACGGCTGATTCTGTTGATGATCAGGGCTTGAAGTTTCAGATGGAGGGAGCTAAAGAGGCGGCCGGATGGCTTTGAGGAGCTTGATGTGTCGCCGTTGCTGGTGCCGTCGACGGCGAAAGATTGGGGTTGGTTTCCGTATGGATCTTTGACATAATGTGACGATGAAGATTACATCTTTGTTCTTTCAAGTACTCGAATCTAACAAGTTTCGGATTTTTTGGTTGATTGTGGAATATTGGGGTGGATTTTATAATGAGAGAGATATGACTATTGAATTTTGTTGTTAGGATTTGAGAGTACTTTGTGTGTACTACGTTGGAAATAACCCCCAAGTCAACTCAAATCTAATAATGGCGCGGAGGTCGGTTGTTGACGTTATAGACTTTTTATATAGTACTTATTCATTCTTTTTATAATTGAAATGTGTTATTGCTAAATATTTTTTACTGTCGAGGGCAGAAGAAAGAGAAGTGTACCAGTTTGATTGATGGGTTTAAGGAAGGAGACTAATCTGGATACTCCTTTGCAGTGTCAAATATTAGTAGGAATATAATGGAACTATCAATTTTCAG